CTCTGTTTGAAGAAATTAACGAGAATGCATGCCGTCAATTTCCAGGATTACAGCCATCACCCAATCAATAAAACTGCCCCACTTCTCAGTTAAGGCATAATTTAGATTATTACATGCATGTCTGTTTTAAGATCAATAATGATTCCTCCCATTGAAGTTCAAAGTCTGCAGACAGGCGATTCCTCTGCACTGAGGCAAGGTTTCGGAATATGCTGTGATGGAAATTTCCTGTTTATGACTCTGTTGGGAGTGATTTCCTATGTGTCTATTCTGGAGTCATGCAGAATTATATCGTAGCTTCTGGTTATCTTCAAAATGAGAATCGGAATTAAGGACCCTATTCATTTTTATGGAATTTTAGGTGTCTACAGATCTACAACTTCATGGTTGAGGTTGATCCAACACCCACCAAAATATCAGCAATTTTGGATGTTCTGTGTTCTGACTCGGATTGATGGTGACCGCATAGAACAGCTTGATAATGACAGGTGTCATGACTCGATGCTGTTATAATCGAGGGATGGTGGTGGAATGGTGGGAGTCAGTGAGGGGCTTATGAAAAGGGAAGAAGTTTTTCACTGATAAGGAGAACAATCTATCGCTAATGGCATAATACAAATGACTTCAAGTTGGGCTTAGCCCAACAAAACGCCATGGCTAATAAGCTACACGAGCCTAGGTTCGTTATGGCTGGTGGGATGAATGATAGTTAACCGATCAACTACAGTTTTTGAGTTCATATAACAAATTCTCATTTTATTTCCATAGCTGATAGCTACTGTGTAAGCCATATCCCAAAGATTTCTCATAAACCACACTGAAACACTATAAAACTATCAACAAGCCTGTATTGAAAGTTTTTAAATAAAATTACTAATGATTAATGCACAAAAGAAGACGACAACTAAAGGGAAATATGTTGTTTATCATAACATTTCAAATAACTTTAAAGCTGATGGTCCAAATAGAAAACAGTAAAGACAATTTATCGTAAGGATTCCCCTAGCAAGGCAGTGGCCTTATCTTGCAAAACTTTCCATGCTGCATTCACATGCTTTTCTTCAGTCAATGGGGCACCTACGGCAAACCGTAGTATGTATTTGCCTGATAAAACCTGCAATCATCATAACTGATGCACTTAGATAATGTGCTGCCACTCACAAAGAAGTAAATCCCACATTTTTTTTCTTTATTTCTTTAATTTTTCTTGGAGAAAGAACAAGACATAAGGCACGCCATCAACACATATATCAGCACTTCAAAATGGAATAAATAATGTAGATAGCAAGCTTACCGTGTGAGATACGAAGACATTCCCTGTTGAGTTTACAGCATCTAATAATTCATGGTTCAATTTGTTACCATGATATTCATCGTTCGGAGGAGGCAAAAGGCGAAAACAGACTAGTGAAAATATCCGAGGGGTGACAACCTGCTCAAATGAGTTATAACAAGTGAATTTATTCACATAAATTGACCATGGACATTGACTTTTAGCATGGGGAAAAAAAAGCAAGGACATTAACTTTCTTATAATAGAAAGTCTTGAGAATTATTACTTTCATAAGGACAAGGTCCTTTTCTGTCTCTTGTGTTGCATTGGGCATCAAATTAGATGTTATGAGAGAGTTTCATGGAAGGCTAAACCTCAAAAAGAAAAGCCATTAGGGTATCATCCCAAAATTGACTCTACACTAGATCTTATTTCGGCATTATAGAGACAGTTTGTAGATGACCAGTTTGGCAGAGTCTGATCATTTGCAGAAGGGATAGAGAAGGCAATATATTAGTCAGATCAGCAGAATCTTTAGACAGCTGATCTCACATTTTTAAGTCTAATAGTCATGAACTGAGTGTCCAATGAAGAGGCACTAATTTGTACCCCTCGACAAATGTGAACAGAGCCATCTGTACGTCCGCTGCTTTAGTGTGAGTGAGACTGTGCGACATTCTAACGTGCAACCAGATTAGCACGCAATGCAGCTATAGCTCAGGTTTCCATTTATCACATATTATGTCTAAGGCTAAGAAGATTAGACATCAAGGAAGATTGAGAAAATTGAACCAAGGTAAAGAAGGGCAAGTTCAATTAAGGACTTGGTTTCAGAAGGGAGCTTTGTTTTTTCAAACAGGGTTTGAAGTACGAACCAGGGTATTTGATTTTCTAGCAAAATCAAGTCATGACACAGAAATTGCCGCATACAGGACGTCGAGAAAATTGGGTCATTCGGCTCTTTCATCTCATTAGCGTCCTTTCGGAGTAGCTCAATAATGAAGACACCATCAAGCACCATTATTTCTACGAATTTGTCGCCTAATTCTGCTGCATAATCATGTCCTGCATAGCAAGCACTGGCCCGTTTCTCAATCAACTTAACAGCATTAACCCAATCAGTTAAAACTCTATGTTGCTCAATCTCCCTGTCTTCTTCGGATAATGATATTGTCTCTGGCCGACTTGTAATTACTCTGGACAGGAGACCTTTCAAGTACTCGATTTTGATTTTCCTGAGGGTACCAAATTTTTTTTGCCATGGTGCATTGGTCCAATGGAGAAGCAATTGGGGAGAAATGAGTTTTCTTTGTGCCTGGATGCAATTGCTTGGTTGCATGTATGGATGAGCATTCTTCAGAGAAGATCCCAGTGATCCTACATTGATTTCAACGTTATTATCTGATCTTCCACTTTCTGCTGCCATTTTTCTAGTCTTCTTGTTTTCTCCTCAATTGTTTTTTTTTTTTCAATTGGGCAAAGTTATCGAGACATGTGCATTGAACTGAGATTGCTGTTGTAGTATGTAATCCAAGGGACCAGTTTGTAATGCTTTCACACGTAAAAAGCTCATGAAAAAAGGTTAAAAAAAAATACAAATAAAGAAATGCTAGCGTATTGTTTTTGCATATCTTCCACAATAAAAAAAAAAATTATAATTTGATTAATCTTTTATTTAATTTTTATAAATTCGTCTAAATTCTTCATCATTCCAAAGAAATTTAGAGATATTTTCTTTCAAAGATCACTAGTTTGCGATCTTCAGAATTTTATGATCTTTTGGTCTAATAAATTATCCAATATTATAGAATAATTTAAATCAAAATATCCTTAATGAATTCTTGAAAAAATTATTCGTTCGTAATCTTTTTTAAAATCGTATCATTGATTAAACAATTATTCTTTTATTTCTTTAACATAATAAAGTTATAGAAAAAATAAAATTTAATTAATTAACATTTTTTTTTACTTGGGAATAATTGCAAATTGTCAGTGTTAGAACCTTTCTCTCAAATTTTTCATTATTCTAAGAAAATTTGAATGATTCTTAACATATGGAAGTTTTATAAAATATCACTCTTTAGTAATTTTTGTAATTCCCTAATCAAGGCAATTTACAGTATTCTCAAGCTTAAATTTTTAGTTGTTATATTTTTTTATTTGTTGTTTTATGTTATTTTAATTTTTTTTTATTTTGATAAAATTAAAAAATAATATATTTTTTAAAAAATTATTCGTTCATAATTTTTTGAATTTTTTATTATATTTCTTTTTTGAAATGAAAATTTTTTATTTGTTTAAAATTCTTCTCTCGTGATTTGTTGTCTGTGTTCTGTAGCTCTTTAAAGAGCTCATGTGGAATCAAATCCCAGATTTCTTGCGTGATTTCCGGTTGATCATCTTGGACTGGAGTAAATTGTGAATGATTGGGTCTCAATGATTATGTTTGCACTTATAAAAATAATTGTTTTGTCTTTTGCAATGTTTTTCCACCGAAAGCAAAAGGGAACCTTTAACAGAAACAAAGTAGTTTGACTCTCTTTTGAAGAAAGCAAAAAAAAAAAAAAAAAAGAAATAAAATAATCTCGTTTTTAATGAAATTATTAGTTGGTCTTAGATAACCTGAGACAAGATTCGATTAATTTTTTATAAACAAATAATTCAGATAAAATTAAATGTTTATAATTTATTTTAAATTTTAAATAATATTTTGTACAATAATATTTATTTAAGGTATAAGACAATAATGAAGTGATATTATGATATTTTTATAACACTAATAATCAAGCAAAATGTTTAATATTTGTTTAACATATATTTAGCACAAAATTTAAATAAATAACATATATAAAATAATTTTAAAAAAACTAAAATCAAATAATTTATTTCATTATATAAAACAATAAAGCTATTTATTTTTAGTTTTTAAATGAAGATTAAATTATTAAATATTAATATATTTTGTTAATTGATTGGAAATTGAAGATTGAATTTTTTTATCTTAAAATTAAGCTTTTTATTTTTTTTTTTTGAGGGGGCCATCTTTATTTATTGGAGGGACTTCGTAGATTGAAGGCATGTATTAAGATTACAAAAATGTTGGGGGCCATGGTGGCTCCGTCACTGGGTCATATAAAGACTGACAGGCCATGGTTTGTGCAGCAACAGACTTTTGCAAGTTTCACAACTTCGAATAAAAAAAATAGAATTAATACACGTTTTGCAAAAACAAATGGTTGGAAAATCTATGTTTGAAGCCTCTTGGAAAAACAAGTTGTCGGAATCATTATTGATTAATGCTTAAGGCAAATTATATAAAGATATTTATATGATCAGCTCTGGAGTCTTTTCCTATAGGAAGCATTTTTGCTTGACTATTCTCCATAAAATAACCGGTATCAGATTCTACCCTTTCCTATAACATGCAGAAAGAAAGGCTGCTATATGTTCTACAGAATTTGGGTGGGGGACATGCAACAACTACCCCTTTGTATATCCACCAACTCATTTCACCATCTAACATTTACTGCTTGAAACAGTAACATGTTAGTACTCCAGCCTTTTGTTTGTATTTTTCTCTGTTTGAAGAAATTAACGAGAATGTATGCCGTCAATTTCCAGGATTACAGCCATCACCCAATCTATAAAACTGCCCCACTTCTCAATTAAGCCATAATTTAGATTCTTACATGCATGTCTCTTTTGAGGGTTAATAATGATTCCTCCCATTGAGGTTCATAGTCTGCAGATAAGTGATTCTTCTGCACTGAGGCCAAGTTTCGGAATATGCTGTTATGAAAATTTCCTGTGTATGAATGTTGGGACTTGGGAGTGATTTCCTATGTGTGTATTCTGGAGTCATGCAGAATTACATCGTAGCTTCTAGTTTTCTTCAAAATGAGAATCAGAATTAAGGACCCTATTAATTTTTATGGAATTTTAGGTATCTACAGATCTACAACTTCATAGTGGGGGTTGATCCAATACCCACCAAAATATCAGCAATTTCGGATGTTATGTGTTCTGACTCGGATTGATGCTGACCGCAAAGAACAGCTGGATAATGACAGGTGTCATGACTCGATGCTTTTATAATCGAGGGGTGGTGGTGGAATGGCGGGAGTCAGTGAGGGGCTTATGAAAAAGGAAGAAGTTTTCAACTGATTAGAGAGAACAATCTATTGCTACTGATATAATACAAATGAATTCAAGTTGGGCTTAGCCCAACAAAACGCCACAGCTAATAAGCTACACGAGCCTAGGTTCGCTATGGCTGGTGGGATGAATGATAGCTTACGGATCAAACTACAGTCTTTGAGTTCATATAACAAATTCTCATTTTATTTCCATAGCTGATAGCTACCGTGTAAGCCATATCCCAAAGATTTCTCATAAACCACACCGAAACACTATAAAACTATCAGCAAGCCTGTCTTGAAAGTTTTTAAATAAAATTACTAATGATTAATGCACAAAACAAGCCGACAACTAAAGGGAAATATGTTGTTTATCATAACATTTCAAATAACCTTAAAGCTGATCATCAATAAAGAAAAAGCACCATTAATGGTCCAAATAGAAAACAGTAAAGACAATTTATCGTAAGGATTCCCCTAGCAAGGCAGTGGCCTTATCTTGCAAAACTTTCCATGCTGCATTCACATGCTTTTCTTCAGTCAATGGGGCACCTACGGCAAACCGTAGTATGTATTTGCCTGATAAAACCTGCAATCATCATAACTGATGCTCTTAGATATGTGCTGCCACACTGAGTAAGAAGTAAATCCCAATTTCCTTTTTTTCTTTATTTCTTTAATTTTTCTTGGAGAAAGAACAAGACATAAGGCACACCATCAACACATATATCAGCACTTCAAAATGGAATAAATAATGTAGACAACAGGCTTACCGTGTGAGATATGAAGACATTCCCTGTTGAGTTTACAGCATCTAATAGTTCATGGTTCAATTTGTTACCATGATATTCACCGTTAGAAGGAGGCAAAAGGCGAAAACAGACTAATGAAAATATCCGAGGGGTGACAACCTGCTCAAATGAGTTATAACAAGTGAATTATTCACATAAATTGACCATGGACTTTGACTTTTAGCATGGGAAAAAAAAGCAAGCACATTAACTTTCTTATAATAGAAATTCTTGAGAATTATTACTTTCTTAAAGACAAGGCCCTTTTCTGTCTCTTGTGTTGCATAAGGCATCAAATTAGATGTTATGAGAGTTTCCATTAAAGGCTAAACCTCAAAAAGAAAAGCCAGCAGGGTATCATCCCAAAATTGACTCTACACTTGATCTTATTTTGGCATTATAGAGACAGTTTGCAGATGACCAGTTTGGCAGAGTCTGATCATTTACAGAATGGATTGCGAAAGCATTTTGTTAGTCAGATCAACAGCATCTTTAGACAGCTAATCTCACACTGTTAAGCCTAATAGTCATGAACTTAGTGTCCAATGAAGAGGCACTAATTTGCATCCCTCAACAAATGTGAACAGAGCCATCTGTACGTCCACTGCTTTAGTGTGAGTGTGACTGTGTGACATTCTAACATGCAACCAGATTAGCATGCTATACAGCTATAGCTCAGGTTTCCGTTTATCACATATTATGTCTAAGGCTAAGAAGATTAGACATCAAGCAAGATTGGCCTTTTTTTTTTAACTAAACAGCTCTAACATGGCTGATTTTATTTCCAGTACCTGCTTAATATTACTATCATGAAGATCTACTTAAAAATCAACTGGTGCACATATGGAATAGAGTCAAGCTACTAGCACACACTCTGACACTCAGGTTTAAGAAAGGCACAGCAATCAAGGGAATATTTCATATTTTAAAATGATGTTGGATGATTCATCTAAAAAGAATATAAAAAGTGAACAGTTTGATCATGTCATCTAAAATTTGCCCATCAGCATACTGTTTCCAGTAACAGTGAAGGGGTTGTGAAGACCTACATGGATACAAATCAATTAAGTAATAACTCTCTTACAGAAATTTCTTAATGGAAACACACTCAAATGTTTATCAATTATATAAAAGAAAACAGAAAATTCAAGAAATTTGAATGACTCCTATTTGTATGGAAGAAAGGTAAAAAAAAAAAAAAAAACTTTCATGACATATAAGAGCTTTTATGGCCAATCAATCAACTTCATGAAGAGCATGACTACCTCAAATCTTGTGTCTTGAGCAACCAGGTCCTCAAAATGTTTGGCCAACTTGATATGGCTTCTTATATAGCACTGCAGGTTTTCCAAGCCATACAGTCGTAACACCATCCATAGTTTCAGTGATCTGGAGGCAAGAAATGGATTTGTAAGGGAAAATTGCTAGTTGATTATACATAAAGTTATTCTTCTGCTTTGTTATGTTAATTTAATTGATTTTACTAAGAAAAAGAAAATATAATATGTTAACAGTATAGAGAACTCACAGCAGAAAATATTGTCAGTTTTACATTCATCATGACAAAAAAACTACAATCTGTATGACATAACTCTTTCCCTCAAGTAATTTTGCACTGACACACACAAATGCTCATTTTAGAGTGCAAGATAAAGGCATTTGCATCTTCAATGCATAATATTGAAAAGCATACCTAAATCGACGTCCAAGAGGAATTTGCCAATCTTTGTAATCTACAACCATGTTTGCTTGAGAAGCCTGAAATTGGTTACCTTGTGAAACACGTAAGGAACTCAGTAGCTACATTTAATATTGATTATTATTACAATAGTCTCCTAACTTCTTAAGGTTTGATCCATTGCTCAAACAACAAGAGGAAAAACCACCAATTTGGTTAAAGTTTTTGATACTATTATAAAAGGCTTCATGCTACTCATTTTAAAGTTTTCAGACTCCATCCATTTCTATGCTCATTGGCAGGTTACAGTACAGATCATGTGGCCAGCAGACTCTCCCTAAGTTGGCAGATTGAAGAGGGTACATGAGAAACCAGGTTCTGGCTGGTTAGGAGTTGGCCATTTTCTGAAACCTAAAACATCTATGTATCTGAAAATACAAAATCTATATACAAAAGGTAATTAAAAGCTTATCCAGATTTGGGTTAAATCAAAATTTCCCTCAATGTAGAAGAAAACTTAACCTTATTCTTCAGAAACTCTGGATTTGTAGAGAGGGCCTGAACCAATGCACTTCTATCCTGTCACAGTCAGTAATAACATAATATGAGCATTTAACGGAAATGGAATTTGCTACAACATGTTTATGAAATTGAGAATTACTATCCCATATTGAAGAGAGATTTTTGCTAGTTCACGCATTCTACATGCCCATCTGTTATTTAATCGGTCAATGAGAAACCTCCAATTATCCTATAACCAATAGAAGCTATTAGGTAAACCACATATGAGTCTAACCACTCACAGACCACACACATCAGGCCAGTTCAGATTTCAAACTAGCAAACTCAAGCAAGCAGGCATTGGGCCTGGCAAATAAACCACTCATATTGATGTCTCCAGTTACATGGAATTGAGATAAAATTTTGCAGTAATTTATCTTTAAGAAACTTAGAAAGCAACTATCGAAATGATAATGTACATAAATTAGATCTTTCATCTATATAGAAGCAGAGTGCATAGAGTAATGAAGATGGACTTTATTGTTGTTGCTACATGCAAACAAGTACAAATGGCATACCTTTACCCAGAGTGCTGAACAATCAAAATTAGTTAGAAACCACTTATGAGCATTCATGTTGAAAGAATCAGCCTCTTCAACTCCATCAATGTAATGACGAAATTCTGGACAAATGCAAGCACTTCCAGCATATGCAGCATCCACATGGAACCACATTTCATTACTCTGTCCGGAGACAAAGCATAAAACATAGCTAAATTGTATTGCCTTCAAGGCTTACTGAGTAGTGACACATATCATACAATACAAACTTCATGGAGATAGTCCTGGGGGGTTCATTTCATAAGATTTCTGTAAACAACCTAAAATTACATTTTCCAGAAAATCATTTTTGTTAATTTTAAATGGTTGGACTACATTTTTCAGTCCACGTAGGTGGGTTTATCAAACATTCATGAATATGATTTCCATGTTACCGCTTTTGACAGAATTTTGTGCCTAAAAGTTAAAAAATACAATATGTGACGGTGCTTAACGTTTATCTTTATGCATCAACCAGTCAAATACAGAAATTTATATAGGCCCAGACTCCAGAGCATATTTCCTCATATTTCTAGATAATTGCATTGGATACAGTACCTTAGCAAATTTTCCTAGTGCAAGCAAAGGATCAACAGCAGTCGATGAAGTAGTGCCAACCTGCAAATATAAATGCCACTCGATGATAAAAAATTTAGAACTATATATAAGACATAAAAGAAACCAATTACATGCTGACTTAATATGGACCCCAAACTTATACAAAGGGCACATGGTCTAACCAGCTTCTATGCTCCATGTAGTAAAGGAAATACCCTAGAAAGATAAGCATCTCATAATATCCCCATCAATTTTATTTTGGGGAAAGTGAAAAGGAAAAAGTACTTAACATGATACAGCAAAAGGAGGAAAGAAACTAACATCAAAAGCTTTTAGCTTCTTACAGTGGCACATAAAAAGAAAGGAATCAACCCAATAGCAAGGTCCTGTGAAATTGTTTCACTCAGCAACTCTGGAGAAAGTGCATAGTTTGTAGAAGAGTTTGCTTTTAGCAGCCTACAATTCTCAGGATGGATTCCTGCTATCTGCCATTGAGTGATAAACATATAGTTTAATTAGCATACAAAGATAATAGCAACATGAGCTTTAATATAGTAGCTAAGTAATATGCATAGATCAAGTAATCAGACACAAATTTCTTTTAAGAATGATGTCAATGTTGTAAGAGACCATATAAAAAGAAATAAACAAATAATACTAGATATGAACTCAATTTCCAAGGATACCTGGCAGGCCTTTTGCAAGGCAGAATGTGTTTGATCAGAAGCATAAACTACAAGCTTTTCAAGTGCACCTTTTCCAACCCTCCTCAAGGCCTTGTCACGAGCAGCCAATAGTACAACTAGAACAGCTTCACTTGCCGTACCCTGTATCACTCCCCCACCTTGTCCTACAACACAGTTACCAACCTCATTCCATAAATTTAGAGATATTTTATTCTTCCATTCTTATTCAGCAAGAAGAAGACTGAACAATTCCAACGCCAGAAATAATTCAATGAAAATCCCCTAGGCCCAGTATTGCATTCTATATCGGAGTTTTACATAGAGTCCCAAGTCCTTATACCTGCTGAAAGGAAGTCTTCAGGTAGCTTAAGCATCTTAGCAAGCCAGTCTAAAACAATCATTTCAAGCTCTGTCGCAGCAGGGGATGTAATCCAACTGAATCCAACAATATTAAGACCAGCGCTAAGCATTTCTCCCAAAAATCCAGCAACGCTGCTATTGGATGGATAGTATGCAAAATAATTTGGACTCTGCCAATGAGTAACCCCTGGCAATATCTTTGCTTGAATGTCTGCAACCACAAGAAGATTTATTCATGAAAAAAAGTTACAAGGTTTCCTAGAAAAATGACAAAAGATCAATTATTAAGGAGAATCAGAATACATTCCAATTCACATTGCCATGTACCCAAAGACATACTTTTTTCATTACTCTCTTCTTCTACACTTTTTTATATTATTTATTAGGTAGTTAAAATAAATTCAAGAACCCAATTGAGCAACTTCACCATCAAGAACATGCTGAAATGAATCTGGTTGATTAGGTGCAGAATCCGGTAACAGATTACGAAGATATCCTGGCTGCATATAAATGACCACAAATAAACAAGACCAACTAAGAAAAATCACTTCAATACCATAAAGTCATATTATTCCATTAAAAAAGATAAAAGCATCCAAACACTGTTTTAGAGATAAAAGAAACTTCTAACCTTTGATGCTTTGACATGCATTTATGTTTAAATTGTATTCTCCATAGAACAATTTTGCCAACTAAAGCGTACTAAAAAGAAAGTTAAACAACAGGAAACAAAATGATTAGAGATACATATAAAGACCTCAACTTGGCTGAGAACAGGGAAATTCTCAATGGTTTTGTAATAATCAGCAATGAAATCAACCATCTTGTGACCATATTCTCTCAGCTGCTCAGCATCCATTGGCTTCAATCTTTTCTCCCTGCCATTTTTTCAAGTGCAAATACAAGCAAAAAGGAAACAAAAAGAACGTAAAAAAAAATGTCAGTGCCATTAAAATGTTAATCAAATGGGTTTGTTGACTCACATTTTTGGGCTCTTGATGAGCAAAGATTTGAAAATGGCCAACGGGTATAGAAGGGTTAACGGGGAAAACAAAGCAGATAACTAGATAAATATTACTGTAAACCTGTAACTACTCCAAAATAAAAAGGACCCCCTCGGATACAAAACAAATATACATAAACAAATAAAAGAGAGAAAATATTCTATTAAGACTCCAAAAATACTCCAGCCACCAGCCTTTAGTGACCGTCACTTAACGAACGTGGACGAAGCAAAATCCAAACCTAACACCAACTTGCTAACGATAAAAGGGCTTTGGCGACGGCAGTGGTGGTCTCTCGAATGGAATATAGTATTTCCCTTTTTTTGCCCTTTCTCTCCTTTTAATAACAATGGAATATTTTATTACTTATATCAATGGGTTTGCCTGAAAAGACGAGAATGGATCGGATCAAAACAGATTTTTATTCGTTTTAAATTTGATTCGATTTTATATTTATAAAATTTAAATTTGATTTGATTTAAAAATTTTTTATTTTTTTATATTTAAATTTGATCTTATTAGATATTATATATATTATATTCGAGATTTAATCAAAAATTAATAAAATATTATTTTTAAATATAAATATATAATTATATATAAATAAAAAATTAAATAATTAATTAAAAATAATTTTTATATAATATCGAGTATGATTGGATTTACTTAAAATCTAAATTCGATTTAATTTTGATTTTTTTAACATTATCTAATTCAATCTGATTCAAAATTTAATTTTTTTTTTTAAAAATCAATCTTATGAAATTGGATTGAATCGAAACCCATCGAAAACAAATTGTGTTACCAATTTTAATTATCTGTTTCTTATATTTATGGATGTAATTGATAAGATAGAATATTTTATTTTCGTCTTCAAAATTTTATGTTATATATATTTTAATTTATATTTAATACATATTTTTATTTTTTAAATATTTAATGAATATAAATAAATTTTATACTAATAATTTAAAAAATAAAAATAAAAATTTATTTTTAATTTTTTATTTAATATATTTAGATTTTTTTTATAAATATATATATTTTTAATAAAAATATATTAATTTTAATTAATTTAAAATACTAATTTATGTTATTTAATAAAAATTTATTTATTAAATATGTATAAAAATAGATAAGGTACATATACAAAATAAATATTTTGTTATCTATTTCTATCCTTATATCTAATAAAAATTAAAAATCATATCAATTTTTATTTTTATTCGGATAAAAAATTAATTTTTTTATTAAATATAAATAAAATTGACATTTTTATTTATATAATTTTAAAAGTCATAGCCTTAAACCAATATAGATTTGGTCTAAATGGTTATTATATCTTAAATAGCGAATTAAGCTTTAGTTTTCTTTGTATTGTGTGCTAATTTATCATTAAAAGAAATATAAGTAATGACTCTTCTTCTGGGAGGAGAGAGCTGCGGAAGAAGAAGAAATATTTACGATGGCCACTGGAATTCTAACATTAATTAATGTTCCAGACAAATTTTTTTTTTAGATAATTAGCAATCTGTGGGCAAATAAGTTGTTCTGACTTCCACGGTAAGATGTGCATCTCAAAAGAGATTTGCGTTAATTGTTCGTTAAAGCCCAAAAAACTGCTGAGCCCAAGGCGCTTGTTTCTTTCCCATTCCAACGTTAACCCCTTGGTTGGTTTACTTACCAGGTCAAATACCAGAAATTTCACTAAACAACAAATGCTATAAATCCTCTGCAAATTAAAAAAAAAATGAATTATTGAAATCGAGAACAGTGAGGGAAAAAGAAATTTGAAGACGATGACGATATTTACGAAGGAATCAGAGCTCAGTTCCCTCTCACTTTCGGTAAGCAACAAAAATCCCAAACCTCTCTTCGAAGCCATTCACAACGCCACTCGCCGTTTCACCACCGCCAGTAGTAATAATGGTAAAGCCAATGAAGACCTCCCTTCTCTTTCCTCCTCCTCTAAAGCTTTGCTCGACTCCCTTCGCAATTCTAAACCTCCCAACCCAAACCCTAATGACTCCTTGATTGCCCCGCCCCGTCCGCCTCCTGGTCCAGTCCCCGATGAGGATGAGGTGACGTCATGGTGGGACCTCGTTCTGGTTTCAGTTAATGATGTCATGATTGGGCCTCCACGACTGCCAGTTCGGACTCAGATTCGTCATCGTTGTCGAGGGAGAACCGGTATCCGATTCCAATGAGCACTGAGATTATTCTCAAGGGCCATACTAAGGTAATTTATTTAATTTTAATTTCTCGAAGCTAAAAATCCCATTTAAGCTCTAATCACTAAAATAATTAAATCCTAATTGTATTTAACGCTTTCAGATTGTTTCAGCTCTTGTAATTGATCACTCTGTCTCTAGGGTGCTTTCGGGTAGTTTGACTACACGGTTAGAATGTTTGACTTTCAAGGAATGAATTCTCGTTTACAATCATTTAGACAGCTTGAACCATTTGAAGGGCACCAAGTACGTAACCTGAGCTGGAATCCCATCTAGGACCGGTTTCTGTGTGTCACTGGCTCTGCTCAAGCTAAGGTTACTACTTGCATATGTTAATTATTAGTCTTGTTGTAGATTATAGTATTGGTTGGTTAGTTGCTCATAATTTTACTCTAATTTGGATTATAGAGATATGACCGAGATGGACTTACTTTAGGTGAGTATGTAAAAGGGGATATGTATTTTTGTGACTTGAAGAATACTGAGGGGCATATATCGGGGTTGACTTGTGGAGAATGACATCTGAAAACCAAGGAGACGATTTTGACATCGTCTGAAGATTGATTGCTTGGTATATGGGATGTTAATGACTTCAAAAGTCAAAAGTAGGTCTGTATTTTTTTTTTATTAAACATTGCTGGTTATATTGAAAGGAGATTATGTAAAGAAAATGTTTCAACTGTTTATTACGTAGGTTTTCAAACCAAAACTTGCAAGGCCTGGAAGAATTCCTGTTACAACATGTGCATGGGATTGTGAAGGGAAATGCATGCTGGTGGAATTGGAGACGGTTCCATGCCGGTACCTGTTGCTGATAGCTAAACAGTTCTTTTTTGTTGATTGATTGCAAGCTACAATAGCTTGGTGTTGTGTTGGTGTTTCTGTTTTCTCCTTACAATCACATGCTTGCTTGAATTATCCTGCAGACATGGAACCTTAAGCCTGGATGGGGAAGTAGACCAGATATATACATTGAAAAAAGTCATTCTGACGATATCACCAGGCTTAAGTTTTCTAGTGATGGAAGAACTTTGCTGTCCACAAGCTTTGATGGTTCTCTGAAAGTAATTAGCAGAGTGTTCAGATCAATGATGAACTCCCTCCCCTCCAAACCCAAAACCCAAAAGAATCCATTCTAGAATCTTGATATTTGTTGTAAATACCATGAAGGTGTTTGATGATCTCCCAAATCACTATGCCCAAACAAATATTGCATTTAGTCCTGATGAGCAACACTTTCTAACTGGAATATCCGATGAGAAGGAAACTACTACTGGAGGTTTGCTGTGCTTTTATGATTGTTCAAAACTTGAACTTGTCCAAAGAGTTGGGATATCCCCAACTTGTAGTGTTGTGCAGTGTGCTTGGCACCCAAGATTAAATCAGGTATACCATACTCTTGTTCTCTCTGTGCATTATCCTAACCACATCTACCCATGGTCATTCATGGTCAAAAAGTATGAACTGATAAATAATAGTATAATACACTAATTTAATTGTTTCTGTTTTAAGATATTTGCGACAGCTGGAGACAAAAGCCAAAGAGGGATTCATGTACTATGTGATCAAACCCTTAGTGAGAGATTTGTGTTGCATGTGAACCTAGGAAGAAATCTTTTGATGGTTTTGAGGTACCACTTGTGATTCACAACCCTCATGCACTGCCATTATTTAGAGACCAACCAAGCCATAAGTGTCGATGTGAGAACCGGAGAAGATACTGAAGGATCCTTTCAAGTCACATAAGCCTAAACTTCCCATAACAGGAACAGGATACGGTGGAAGAGTTGGTGCAACCAAGGGAAGCTTGTTGACTCAATACCTTCTTAAGGTAATGGTGTTTTTCCTGTCCAAAAACTCACCTCTCTGCTGCTCCTTAAAATCTTAATGTTGTATAACTAAAGCTGGTGGAAGAGACTTACCTGTTGGTTCTCATTGTAGCAAGGGGGGATGATCAAGGAAACATGGATGGAAGAAGATTCTAGAGAAGCCATACTTAGATACGCTGATGTTGCAGCAAAAGACCCCAAGTTCATTGCTCCAGCATATGCTCAAACCCTGCCTGAACCTGTTTTCGCAAAGTTAGATGCTAAGGATAAGGAGAAATGATCTGATTATAGTGGCATTTCATTCTACTCATAGTAGGATCTTTTTTAGTATTTTCCCTTACAATGATCATGCAATGATTGATAATTACACGCACACACACACGCATCACTTTACTTATTGTCGAGGTTCTGACTCTTAATTTTGGCATCTGATCTGTATGATCTCTAAACCACCCAAGTGTAATATGTGCTCCTGCAGAAATCATTGAACTGAACTGGTTATCCTGAAGGTGCAATTATTGTTGCATTTGCTCAAATTCTTGTTTTATTCAAATGGTCTGTAAATTTTATTATTTGCATGTCATCTTTAAGAAAAGATCATTCCCTTTGTCCTAACCATTTGTAGGATTCATGATCAAATTAGTTTGTCTTTGGAAGTAATTTTTATCATAATTTACAATAAAATCAAACAGGTAGATCTGATTAAATGCTAAGTGGAAATATGCACAATCAAGCTAAAGTTTTGTTCGATATGAATCATAGAGATTGAATTATAAAGGCAAAATTTACTTGTATGCACATTTTCTCTTGTATATGTCATTGGGTGGTTAACAGCTCATTGATGAATGCATTGTTGAGTTAGACTATTATTATACTGATCGGGATTATTTCATTCATTATTTTCTTTTTCAATCTTACTTGAAGCTCCCATAAGCTGATAGTACCTTAAATCTCTTAAAAATTTATCGGTTGCTTGTTTCTCCCTTTGATATATGGATAATTCTTTTTCTCTTACGCCTGTGCATAGCTGGAGTGATCAATACTGTTTATTTATTTGGCTCTTCACTAAATATTTTAGTTATTTATTTTTCATAGGATGGATCCTTGTGCCAACTACCAAAGGTAATCATTGTGAAAGATTTGGCTAGTCCATTGAAAAGCTTGTGGCCTGTGAGAGCTTCATGGAAGAGAAATAGCACCATAATGAAAGCTAGTTGGAGAACAATATAGTTGCAAGGAATAGTATAAATTTTATGAATGACAGGTTAGTTTAGTCTTTGAAGCTTGGCTCACTCGCGGTTCACCCCGGTGTAAAGGTTGCAATTCATTTACGATTGATGATAACTTACGATTGTATTTATAACACATTACTAAAGAATTTTCTATGGAGTCTGTTTTCTGTAGTTGCATTGTCATAGCATAGCCATCTCAAATATCCCTGGCAACATTTTTCTGTTACATCTCTTAGCATCTGTTAATAGGCACCGAATGCCTTTAAGAGATATTTGGATCATTTATTTGGTACTTATGCCTTATCAGATCCTTGAAACTGGGTGAGGTGAGGCAGGACAAAACTGGCCAAATCATCTTCAACGCATGCACTGTGTTAACTAGCGAACTAAGCTAACCATTCGATGTCGCATGCATCAGCTACCTGATGAATGTAGTAGACATGGCAGTCCCAATCATGCATCATGAGAGTAATGCAGGATCTTATTGATTGAAAAGTGGACCAAGTGAATGAAGACTACTTTTGCAGGTTAGCTTCAGCTTATTTACATATACTCTGTGGAAACTGTTTTAGATTGGACTGGATGAAAGCCTCTAATTCCATGCCATAAGCAGTTAACAAAAATACACCCCAACAGTTCTGCCTTTAGTACAAAGGGTTGTCATAAATCAAGAAAACAAAGATGCAAGTATGCAACCAAAACAAAAATGTGGCTATTAAGCAACATATGATTCCAGAACAAAGAAAGCTAAATATCTTGACCAAGAATATGAGTTGCTCTATAAACTGTTCAATTAAACTATTGACATGTACAAGGATTTGTAAGTAAAACCCATCTCTGATTTCCTAAGCATCACATCCCCATAAAATATCAGGATGATGACTGGTTGTTTGCTGTATGCACTACGCAATACAACAGACATAATCACTCGTGTGGCATTCCGAATTATTGTTAATATCATGTTACAAAAGTCATTTTGGAAACCTTTTGCTGCAAGTGAGTTCACATTTTATGGCTCTGCACCTGTTATTGGACATGGCTTAGGGTCACTACCAATAGTTTCAGAGGCCATCGCCCTTCAGGCTAAACTTAATACCTTATACCCGAAGGACTTTTGCATCTAGAAAATTTCACCTGATGCAACATACCTGTTAATGGGATTAAGTTAGTGCTCATTCTCAAAGCTTGACAACCGTGAGTCTGATAGTACGGTGAATAGTTGTGTGTCTACAAATAGCTGCAATTGACAAAACAGCATTGAGTAAGCAATGACCAAGTTTAATTCAACATTTTAAGCATAAAGATCTATGATTTAAGTTACATTTATTTAATATCCTTCAGACTTCATTTTAATGCGTTCCATCAGATCTAGTGTTGCAATTTTGTAACATTTGGTTCTACACATTTTGACATACAATTTTCTCTCCCTTTTATCCTTCTCATGCCAGGGAACAACTCAGATTTCAAGAATGCTCAAGGAGTGCAGAGCATTTTTATGGCTCCAGAAAGTTTCCCCAAAGCTTCAAACAACAACCCAGCACTTGCTTCTATGGCTTTATATACTGAAATGTTTACTGTACTAGCTCTTGAAAATGCTAATCTTAATAACCTTTCTCAAATTTTATTGCCCTTTGTTGGCTAGCTGCTCTACATCCACAAGATGGTTTCAATCATTTTAGCATCAGTCAGTGTTTTAGCTGGCAGAGCAGTGGGCTTTGGAGTTCTGGCATCGTACTTCATCAATGTGGATAAAATGTAGCTATCACCACTAATACCACATGACAAAACAATAGCATACGATTTGCTAATCAGCATGTACCAGGAATTCTACAGTTAGACCTCCTCCTATTGAGTGTGCTTTGTGTACTTCTATCCATTCAATGGAAAATCACACCTTAACATTAGTATGGATGTGTTGTATGCTTTGCAAGTAGCAACAATTAAGATTGGATTTAGTATAAATTAAAAGATGTCAGCCGTTAAAATAAGGTGCAAAAATTACCTTAATAAATGGCCGGTCCTTACTAGGAAAAGAATCAATAAAGCTATCTTTAAGTAGTAAGGAAACCTGGAAGTAAATGAAACAAGTAAAAGGAGCTGAGAAAGATCTAGCAGTTATGCAGTGATTTGTTAGGAAAGAAACTGGAGGAACAACATAAATTATAAGAATAGAAGTGCCAACCCTGTCATGGTTTGATTGTACACTAGTAATAGTATGAGACCTCAGATTTGCACAAAGTGACTCCAGGTATTGCCTCATGACTGTCAAAAATTGGGTTGCAGCTTCAGCCTGAATAGGTAAAACTGAAGTTAGTTGCTGCCAACAAATGAAAATAAAAAGTATAGATAAAAGGATGGTAGAGGTAAGGAAAAAAAAAAAAAACATAGAAAACAAGTTAGATGGTAAAATCTTTCCAGATTACTCCAAAAATTTTAGAAAGATCTTTGGTTAAAATCTTGACATAATCTAAGAAAGACATAAGTTTCAAAATTCTAAATAGTAAAACAAGTGGGCATGGAAGTAGAAACATTAAGCATTTGTTTATAGTGATCAGTAAACACCTGCACTTCATTGCACCTATATGTAGGATGCTTTTTAGCAATTGAACCTTCAAATGAGAGTCTGGCATGTATTGACCCTAGTTCAGATACAAGCTCTTTATGTCGAGGAAGTGTAGGCAAGTGGCATGTTTTCACCTGAATAACAGTGAAAAGAACAACTAAGAATACTCAGAGTTAAGGCAAAACACTTCAAGCATTCCTCATAGATTATAAAATTTCTGTGCAAATGTGCAAGCATTAGAGAGAATGGAGAGAAACAAGAGACATTACTAAGGCACTAAATTGCAGTTCATGTAAAACATTATAAACTGTAAGTAAACCCCACCCGATTTTACAACAATTCTACCCCAGAATTATAGATCTTGGAACCAAACGTGCAAACCATGTTTAGAAACCATAAATACCTGCTTCTTGAGCAAATTAACTTGAACAAGATTAGATGTTTTCATTTTCAAATCAGTGGGTTTATGTTGTACGCCAACCTACAAAATGAAAGACACAACAAGCTAAATCAGGGCATTTCCATTACTTCCACTACACATATGATACTATAACACATTCTTTGCAGATGGAAACATGCAATGTAATGTATTTATACTTGTATGTTCATTCATACATAATAAAGGAGGAGCTTTGACCTGTTTAAAAAGCTAAAAATAATCTTTTTGTGTTTGTGCACGTGTTTGATATCAATCACGTATGCATTAAAAAAGCATGCTTTTTTGTCTTTCTTATGCAGGTTAAAGCTCTTCTCTATAATGCTAAGTGTCAGCACAATTTATAATTTCATGCATCATACTAACTTTTTTATTAACATCCGAAAAACACTATAACTCACAAGAAAAGGAACAGGTGCATCAAGAAAATCAAGCATCCTCATCGGCAGTACCTGAATGCAAATAAAGAATTTCACAAAATGAAAAATAGTGCATCATATCAATTTATTAGAAGTAGGATATCTAGAAGAATTACTAAATGCAATTTGCAACAAAAAGTTAAACATCTGAAATGTGATCTGCCACTAAGCATAAACTACTCAAATTCCCTTTTCTTTTTCCCACTTTTCCTCATGAGAAAGAGTGAAGAAAGACAGAATCTAGTTGAAAGAGGAAAGGATCAATATTAACAAGTTACAGCACTTTCATATGGCTTCTGTTGTGTTATCACCATGTAAGATGTTAGGGATTCAGTCTAACTGTATTAAAACTACAATCACCAACATTAAAATATCAAAGCACTTTAAAGACAATTTTCACAAAACATATTTTTCAAAAGAGGCTTTCATAAGTGGTCTACAAACTAAGAAGCTTCAATCTTTTACATAACAAAATCCTATTGTTGAAAATCTTCACCAGATTTTTGGTTGAACTTGTAGAATTATCATATGCCTGATCAGCTGATCCATTTTCTCTCTCTATAAACCTGTTTTTTTAGAGCACATGCTTTCAATGAATCCACAATTTATAAGTAGGCACAAAAAAATACATACTCAGATATGTAGATAAAAAAGTTTCTGTAAAAATGTATAACCATGTGTCTTATATGTGTATTTATGCCTTCACTTATAAAAAGTAATGTGTCTGTGCAGCATTTGCAAACATATTTAACATTGTCACATTGTATGAGCACAATAAAGCAGGCATTTAGGCAAGATCATGTTTCATTTGTTCATAGAGTTAGCTGGCATCAGAGGCAAAGCCAGATATAGGGAGAAGGGGGGCCAGATAGTAATTTCAATGGGAGAAGAAGGTCAAATGGTAAATTCTAAGGGAAAGAATACTATCAATATAAGGGTGTCAAAATTTTTTTGGGGCCTGCCACCCTAGCTACGCCTCTGGCTGGCATTGTATATCTATGTAGCCAGAAGCCCATATTTTATTATTTGTTTTAACTTTTCAAGCTATAAGCTAATTTCCTAATCTTCACTCTTTGTATGCACTAGGGCTAAGCCTAGGACACTCATAGTGTTAGCTGTCACCATGCTGTATCATTTATATAAATACACACACACACACACACACACACATATATAACATTTCAATTTTAGAAGCCATATTTTGTAAATTATACTACTTTTTTCTTTTGCTTCACCTTTTTCATTGTAGACTTTCACCGCGTTAATATTTCACAGAAGCTGTGCTAATGTGCTCAAAAACTTACTTCATGAATATTTGGAGGAGTGATCTACTACAGCTTATTGTTAATATCAAAATTTGAGCTACATCCCGAAAGATATCACTCAACTCTAGAATTTCAAATAAAGAGCAGAAAGGAAGGAGGTTATGGAGATTACTGGAAGCAATAAACTCTGCCACTGAAACGGCCGAATCAAAGGAACAAGGGATAACACCACAGCTGATAGAACACCCTGCATTGATGAAAATTAGTGTCAAAGCCAGGATACAGTTTACAGCTGCCAAAAAAAAAAAAAAACTAAGTGCAAAACAAATAGGAACGAAAATACAATCTCTTAACAAATTAACTTACCAGATTGGGGCAAAGTACTACAACCTGTTTTTCCAGTAATACTCCTGCAACCACTGCCAAAATCTGGAAGAACAATCATACAGTGAAAACAAATCTACCAAATATAACAAGAAATGCAAGTAGGTAAGATATCAAGATGGTTATTTTCTCTCAAATGAATGCATGCAAAGTTGATTAAGTACCATGTATAGAAGACATCAGAAGCTAGAACTGTTCATGAACCTTTGATTTAAACTACAATTAATTATTCCTAAAAGAGTTGAGCTAATGAATAAATTAGCAATTTAGCTCCAGTCCAGCTTCTTTTACTTTGAATGCATGTCTGTAGAATAGCATCAAAGTTTCTGTATATATTTGTTCTTCCAAAAGCCTCATAGGATAAGAAAACATTTTAATCTTATTCCCTTCTTCTGCTGCACAACTAATGAAATCCACTGAAACTAAGCACAATGGAATATACATGCATTATTTAGTGCATGATTTACTTATCACCTATCGATTGCATTGAGATTGGATCTTTCTGCCCATTTCCAATGGTGTTTAAGTTCATGCTTAAGAGAAGATATGAGATTATAACATATCTGTCTGTATAGTTTGCAGTCAAAAAAATAAACCCTGACAGTAGCAGTGTTTCCTTGTTATTCAGTTACTCTCAGAGACTTCAAACCTAGAAGAAGTCCTACCAATCAAAGGTTGTTGAATTTCAGTAATTAGATATTTACATGCCTGCTTTAATGCCTGAAAGCCCATTCAAGCCAATTCTAGGATGCTCTAGGAATATTTAATTCCAAATGCAATCAAACAATTAGGCCATGAGGCCTATCCCTAAATATGTCATGCCTAAGCCAACAATTATTTTCATTTGCAGTTAAAATGCAGATAGTTAAAAACACAGCTTAAGTCAAGTGAACAAGTATCCATCATAGAACATTACACTATCAAGAGAGAGAACTCGACAAATTGTTGCAGTTGTCCATACTGAAAGTGCAAGAGCTTCCTCAGCTGCTGCCAACTTTGCATTGACCTTTCACCAAGTTCAATGACATCTAAGTGAATATATATGTTATGAAGGAGCATTGACTAAAAATAGCATAACAAAGAAATACCTCAGCAGCTTCAAATGAATAACTTTCATCCATTCCAAGGGCAGAAACCGGAGGTCTCACATACTCAATAGCCTGTAAATGCTCAAGAGGCTGAAAAACTATTTCACTTCCTCGTGGAGGAAGAGATAAAGCATGATAACCACAAACTATCTGTAGAAGATCATTTTTGTTTTCCTATCAAAGAGATCAGATAAGCAAAGATCAAATGGACATCCAACTACCACAATGATATGTAAAAAATCAGAAACAACAGAAAACTAACCCTAGCCCACTCCAATATTAAGTCATCTCCAAAATCTTTTTCATGATTCGAGAAAAGGTCATCATCCTCGTCCTCATCCTCTGATGCCAGGCTTCTAGCTGGACTGCCAAAGATAACAATATATTACTGAAATTGTGATAGGAAAAAACTGGGAAAGAACCACAAGAGATTGAGAGAAGTAAAGGCAAAAGAGAAAATCTAAAATAAAGATGCCAGGTTAATGTGTTTATCCTCACCAAGCAGAATTTTTCCAGCACTTTCTCACATAAGAATCTCTTCTAGTTATAGTAAAAGAACTGTTTTTTCTTTATTCTAATGCAAGCTTCTTCTTTTTTAAGAATATTCTAATGCAAACTTAAACAATGTATTCAATCATAATTCACCACCTGAATAAGACTGGAGAACTCCCAAGACGCTCCGAAGTACGACTCCTCAAGCCGACGAATGTTCCAATCTCAGGAGAAATTTGTCCATTTTCGTAGTTGCCATTTATTCTTTCTGAAGCATCAGAACGATTTTCTGAGGCTTCAGATAAATTATCATCAATATATAGCACATTCTTCCTACCATCCTTCTCTATTTCCCTAATGTGACCCAAATCTGAAGCCTCACTTGCAGTTACGCTTTCAGGTGACTGAGGTGAACTTATCTTTAGTGAAGCAGATGAAAGCTCATCATCAGGGATTACTCCAGCCGTAGTGGCACTAAGAGCTACAGCACTGTTAACAGGTATTGCAGAAGCCATCCAATCATTAACATACTCAACGTTGGGAGAGTCATTGTTGTCATTTATTTGATCATCAAGTTTGGAGACAGATGGGACATAATCATTGAGAGACAGAGACATTTCATTAACAAATTCTGTTATTCGATTCAGGCGCTCCTGTGCAATGATACTGCATGCAAGTAAAATATTGAGAATTCGGTTATCAGTAACTTTATAGTTAACATATCCCTCATCTGTCAGCGAAAAACAATTCTCACAGGTCATAGGGGAAAAGGAATTAATTTTAACCTGTTCAACATCTCATAGTGTAACTCAAAGAAAGGCACTCTAGTTAGCAAACAATAGCAGCGAGGGGCAGAAACCATAAATGCTCCAGAAGATGCGGAAAGAGGTGATGTACCACCTAAAATACCAGGCTGTCTCTGTACAAGTTCTGGTACATGCAAACAAACACCATAAACTGTAGCATTGCCTTCCACCTAATCAAGGGAGCATAAATGTTTCGTAACCCATCAGTTCCTGTTTCTCACACAAATGCTTATTCTACAAGTAGTGAAAACTGAGAAACAAAACACACAAAATCTTAATTCATTGTAGAATTCAGCAGTCATTTTCACAGTTATAAACACTTAACGCATATAAACGGCTTTGCTTAAAAATATGTTACATCCAGAAATGATTGCATAGAAATAAATTGGTGATTTCAGTTTCCAGAATACAGCTGCCTCCAGCACAACTTAATTTGAGTGGATTTCAAGGTTCAAGTTAAAGTACTTCAGTCCACATTGCTCTAAGGAAAGGATTACTCATAATGGGTTACAGAAAAAGCAAGAAGTCAGAAAGCATGGCTCGTACTCATTGACACTCATCAGAAGTTACAACTTAACCAGACAAACTAACCATACCATTGATGAGAGATGGAGCCTAAAGTTTCAACGCTACTATCTGTCATAGCCATATCATTCTGGTGACCTCCTCACTGCTAGTTCACCACTGTTTCACTACTAATTACTTCCTCTTATCTTTCTATCTTTCGGCTGCCATAGTGATGTCATGGTCAAAGAAAAATCCCCCTCTTTGGACCTTAAACAATCAAGAAACCTTTTTGGTCCAGATTTTCTATCCATGGTAGTCACAGTCTTTTAGTTGTTTACTTTTAGGTATATTACAAAATGAAGAAAAAAGGGTCAAGTTACCATAGTGCAATACTTGTACCATTACAGTAGTATAGCAGTAAAACATTAACATATTTTGGTCTTATTAGCTATTCATTAGTGTTTAACAAAATAACAGAATTAAGATGATTTAATGTTTTTTAAAGCTGAGATTCAATTGTACCAGGGTTTTGAGTTTATAAAATTTGGTTATACTCCCATCTTTGAAAGATCTAACAGATTCGTAAGAGCTAATTAACAAAATAAAATGTTCATTTTTGAGGCAAGCTTACTAAGTCTTTCTTCTCATAATCTCTTATTCCTTTCCACATTACTTTTCTGTTCTTCTACAACTCAAATGGAGTAAATTAAATTCCAGATTAGATTGAAATCTTCACACACATCAGAAAGCACGGCCTACATTTGATATGCACTTCCACTATTGTCAGTCCTAACTCCCAATGATTCCTAATTTTTCCCACATCAAATCCTAATTATCAGAGTAAAACTTGAAAGACTAAAAGTTTTCCCCCATCTATTCCATGCAAAGCACAAACAACCCAACTGCTACTCTTTTGAGCAAAATACCATTTTTTTTCTTAACCAATTATTCATAAAATTCCTCCTCAACTGCAACTGTTTCAATGCTGAATTGAAATAAAAATTTGAAGCTCTCCTGAGAACATAGTTCTCTTAAAATCAAGGTGATAATAATTGAGCAGAAATGAAAGTAGTGTTGGACAAGTTTTTGACCATTATCTTGGAAAAAAAAAAGGGTGTAGAAACAAAACAATAAATGGATTGCTAGAGTCCTCTAATCATTCCCAGCCACAGCTGTGATGCATCAATCAAGTGGAAGCATTTTGAGGATGCAACAACATAGCTCAGAACATATATGAAACGTACCTTTAGTGAAAAAATAAAAGCAAAATCATCTCTGCCCAAATGCTCCTGTGGAGAATGTACAATGATAAAAATGTTACTTATTCTTCGGGTCAACAGCACCAACATGTGAGAAAAAGTTCATGACTCTAAACTTATCATACTTTAACTCGACATAAGGACAACTATTTGGAATAAATGCCACATATATGACTAGAGATACATAGGATTCCTTATAAAACAAAATATCCCAGTTAATTGGTTTAACTCAAAAACGGGTTTGAGTTGGTTAACCCAAAACTCTGCAGTTCATCTCCTATTCGGTTGGAGTATCACCTTTTGGACTTGGGTAAATGAATGAGGAATCAAGTAATTATAAATCAGGGACTCAGAAAATTCAACTCTGCTCCATGAAAAAGTTACTTTTCAGAGCAAAACCAAAGAAAATCCTAACAATGAGAAGAAAGTGGTCAGCAACAGATAAAATAGAGGTTAGTACAGATTGAAGGAGTGCCTTCTTCTGCACATTGATATTTTTAAAAGATTAAGTCAATCCCCAGCACATGACATGCTTTTCGATGTTAGCAATTGAAAATAGATATCTTTCTTATCCTGCTTTCCTGTATTACTGAATAAAGGAAAATAGTGTCACTTCATTTCTTTTATCTAATTATCTTCTTTTCTCTGCCATGTTTTCTTTACTTGAGAATGTGCAAGTTCATGTGTAATGCAGTACCAGTATACTCTCCATTCAGAAAAATAAATTAGTAAGATATACAAAAATGTTAGATAGAACTCTACAAGATTTGGAAAATATATAAATTCTTTAACACGGGGCAATAGAGACACATTGATTTCACATACCTGTCCATAAAGAAGCTCATTTAGATCACTAAATGATGGAGTTCTTTCCAGCAACCGTGCCTAATTCATAGAAAAATAAATATTGTTAGTAGCTCTATATATGTTAACACCAGAAAAAGAAATGTAGTACACTGACAAAAGATACAAGAAACCATCAAAATCATATGTTGAGCTGAAATCTAAAACATAAAATTTTAAACTGTATGTAGCAAAAAAATTTTTTGACAAAAAAAGAATACATCAAACTAAAGGAAAGATGCTTCTTGTAATATATATTAGTAAAATGTTGAATGCAATTACTATTTATGATTATGCAGTGCTCAAAAGGCCTACAAAACATATCCTGCAAATTCTTCCATATTATTATACATTTCTTCCAGGTGAAATGTCATTAGTTATTCCCATATGTAAGGCGTAACTAGATGGAGAAAGTTCAAATAGGTTGCATGCAATATGCTCACCTATTGACCAAGTTACAACTTTTTTTATTATAAACTACAAATTAAAATGTCATAGAAAGGCCAAACTTCTACTTATAATAACCATTTTCCCCCGAAAATAGGTGAAATGAACAAGAAAGGCAATAAAGCTACAGAAAGAGGGGAGAAATACAAAATATTAAAATGACAATCCGCATTTTTAAATGCAGTATGTGAACCAACAAAAGGCAATAATATTTGCATTATGGTTATTACTAATCAACTATAATGTAGATATGAAATACAGACTAATTAAGCTAATAACTCTTCCCATTTAATATAGTTCACACCAGGTCGAAGAATTGATATTGTAGAAGACAAGAGTATCACCAAAAAAAGAGTGAGATCAAACCTTAACACCCCCAGGAAAACAAAAGGTGGCTAAGTCCTTCAACCGCATACCTAACCTCTTCCCAGGAGGGTATCTAAAAAGAATCTGTTAATCAGGGAAAAGAAAAGGAAAGACAGAATAATGATATCAGCCCACATGAAAAGAAAGTAGACTACTATTGATCCGGATGCATATACTCTAAAATGATTGTCTGTTGATGACATTTTTATTAACAGAATTCAAGTGAAGCAAAAACATTATCTAAAAAAAGGGTGCAAGTAGAAATCTCAGAGAAAAGACAAACACAAACACTAACTAAATTCTTGCTTCTGCAGTGTCACTGCCTTTATTTGCAAGGAGAAACAAAAATGGCTGAATTGCATCGTTGACAAACTAAATCTCCATAAGGTCATGCAAACTTAAAGAAAATTAAAGAGCAGGGTAACGGATTGTTGAAAATATAAGAGTTTCCTCATATTTAATTATGTAGTCAACCTGAGGTTCAAATGTTGGAAGTGGAGGTCCCCGATGCCGTAGCAATTTAAGATCTATGACTCCAGATTTTTTCATCTCCATCTCCCATTTTTTCCTCTTAGCAAAGGCTTCCTCTACAGTCCCAAGATTAGCATCTGGATGAATCCCAACAATAATGAAGTGCTCAAAGATTGATTTGGGCTGCTCATATTTAATCTGATCCTGCATCAATATCCTAGAATTAGAATTCCAAAAGGCAAATGGAAATATATCAGTATCCCATTAAGTGATGCGCACTAGCGATTTTATCAAAACATCTAAAATCTTTCAATCGGTAATAGATTTTCATCGCAATCACTAACTTAAGGTATGCATTTGACTTCCTACATTAAGATATACTAGTTCATTATAGAAAAAAGTATTTAGAGCAAAGAAGGACCAAAAGATTTTTAGCCTTCTTCTTGACAGAAGCAAAAGAATAGAAGCTGTTAGCTCTATCCAGTTTTGTGGATATCCAACCTAAAACAAATTAACAATAGATGGATAAGCCCAACCTGAATATAAGGCAAAAAAACCTCAAACCAAAACATAATGGGATAAGACCACTTAGCAATAACATAAGCTATGTGTTATGACTTCCTATATCATCATAGTTTTCATCTATAAACCAAACCATAATCAAGTGTGGAATAAAGGTAAGAAGGTGCAACAAAGTATATCTCAGTTTGATTGCCTCACAAAAGACATGAAGCGATAGGCCCTTAGACCATCACATTCTATCATCCAATATAGTATCTGCATTTCAATGGTATCTAGTACATACACCAAGTTCAGTACAGACACACAAATAGCAAAAGTGTTAATTTTTAAAAAGGAGGAAATTTTATACACAAATAATGAGACTTGTCCTCAGTGTAAGTAAGAGTGTAGGTTATACTTATTCTTCAAGAGCAAGTTATAATCAATCAGAAAAATTTACAGTAAGAAGAAGTCACAGCTGCAGATAAGGCATACACAAAATGACTGGTTACAGAAACCCTGGAAAAAAGAAAAGAAAGAGGCGGAAGAGTTGGGTCTAAATACCATAGTTTTGGAGTGGAGTTGATACCACTGGCGTTTCTGGTTTGCCAAAACCTCAGGATTGAAGCTTGGCCGGTGCTTTTCGTCCCGGCAATTGCCACCCCATCGCCAAGCCTTCTGCATATGAGTTTTCAATCTCTGGAAACTATTGTTACGCCGGTGTCCTGTACCTGGAAGTTCACTCTGACTGCGCCTATGCCCCAATGGCGGAAGCCTTGGAGGATCTGAGCTTCCTGTGTGCACGGGATTCTGTGCTTCTCCATCCACTTTCATATCCTCCTCCTCAAAAAGACGGTTTAATTCCCAATAGGGTGATGGTGACTGTTCTTCATGTCCTTCAGCTTCTTCCTTGGTTTCCATTTCTAAACACTTTTTTTATCTCATTTTGAATTGCTCATTTCACCAATTAAAACCAAACCTCTCCTCCCTTAAATTGTCAGCCATGACCAAGATTTTTTTAAAAAATCACACCTTTTCACTTATTTTGCAGAATCTACAAGATACCATCCTCTTAAAATTAGACCTTATTATAAATTACACCAAGATATGAAACGGGTTCCCTTTTATTTGCTCTTGATCCTCAGATTCTATAACTATCCAAATCATGAAACCTTCCAATATATATGTTTCTAAAATCCAATAAACAAAATTGCCTCTTGTTACATAAAGTTTAAAATTTGAATGCCAAATCCCGGGCTGTATGATTCACACCGTATAACACCCTGTTTGCAAAATATTTGAAATTGGTAAAAGTTACTGCAAAATTTTAAAAAAGGAAAATGAAGAGGCCAAACCAAGGACTTTAAAAATTCCCAACAGCTTTAAATTCTTCAAAATGCAAAAATCAAAGCAGAACTTTTTGTAACGGAAATTTGATATGATAACATGGGATGAAATCCAATAAATGCAAATGAAAAAAGAAATAAATAAGCAATAACAGCAAACATAATTGGAAGAGCAACAGGAGAGATTCTTCCTTACCTGACTCTGTTTTTTTTTTCTGTTTACCAAAGTTTTGGTTTGGTTCCTTCACGCCAGAGAGAGGGAGAGAGAAAGAGAAATTCTAAAAATAGAAGGGAGTTATAAATAAAAACAGAAGGGGAGGTTACACATAAGAGAAGGAGATTAAGCGAACTCTAGGCTTTGTTTTTTTTCAGGAACACAAAAAAGGAAAAGACAGCTCAATAATCATATGCCATTACATATTTAGGGAGTATCAGATGCAAGCTTAGTTCTTTCTGCTGAGAAAATTTTGCCTTTTGGTTGGTTAAAGCTTAAGGTTCCTGTTTCATAATGGGTAAAGGTTAAAAAAAAAAAAAACACTTAAAATCATGGCAATGGCATGGGTTTGGAAGTTTGGGAACAATTTTTTAATGGATAAAATAAAAGAGAAACATTTAGGCGATCACATCCATGAACAAGAAAGTATAATGCGTTTTTTGACTACGGAAATCCAACGTGTGGCGTTCATGCAATGGCAAAACCCACATTTCCCACCTAATTTAACCAGATATACCCTTTTAAATGCAGTGGCTCCTTTTCTTATTGCCTTCGGCCCTTTTTGCTTTGTTCATTTGCTCTTTATTTCATATTTCTACGGTTCAGTGTTAGTAGCTCTGCATTTATGGCACTGATGAATGGTGATGTTATACTCACTTTCTACTTTCGGAGCGTCCTACTCACGCATTTACAACAAATTAATTACGTAACACATATTAAGCTTTTTTTTTTTATCTAAAATATAAATCACAGAAAATATAGAGAAAGAAAAAACTATGGCTAGAATTTTAAGTACATACTTATTTAATCAGAATAGGAGTACCATCAATATAATTTTCTTTTTCATTTGTAAATTTTGTATTTTTATATGCTACAAGTCTTATTTTTAAAATTTTATAGATAAATAAAATAGATTTATGAAGGTTTTAATTTAAGCAGGCACGTGAAAAAACGCGCATTAAAGAAAGTGAGTAAAAGTCGCGAAAAATTCTCCCAGGTCTCACATGCTCATCGCCGTCCATTTTTCTCGAAAACTGTTTTCTTGGTAACTTTACGAGAAAGATTCTCAAAGCTAAAATGTTTAAAACAAAAGAATAACCAAAGTTAAAAATGGTGAGGTTGTCCACTGTTCGGACATTTTCCAATCATCAAATCTTTCGCTTTGGAGCCAATCTCGCTTGTTAAATCTTCGGTTCTGTCTGAAAATCGAGGAAAAAAAGAAGAAAAAAAGAAAGAATTTGCTCCTAATTCACTTCACCATTTCACAAATACTTTAATCGGATAATTTGAAAGGTTGAGGATCCAATCACAACAAGTGCATACTTATTAGTCTTTTGTTTTAGATTAAAAAAATAAAAAAAAAATTGAATTAAGATTTAATCATTGAAAATTTTTTAATTAATTAAAATTTTAAATATCTATTTTTATCATTTAAGTTTTTTTTAAATAATTAACTATTTTTATTCAATAAAAATTTTAATTAGGTAAAAATAAATATTTTAAAATTTAATTGAATAAAACTAAATATTTTAAAGTTTTGATTTATTTGAAATAAAAAATTTAAAATTTAATTAATTGAAATAAAATATTAAAATTTTAAATTATTATTAAAAAAATTGACTTTTTTTACCCTTATACTTTTGTTTGCTTTATATTGTAATATAATAAACTAGATTATAACTCATACGATACATGAAATAATTTTTTATTTAATATAAATATATATTAATTTTTTTTCAAAATTATATTTAAAATTTTAAAATTCATAACATATATAAAATTTATATATATTGATTTGTCATTAAAAAATAAACTTTCTTAAAATAGCAAAAAAAATTATATCTTTCATTTAGATATTTTTGTTTATAATCATATTTATATATCTGTAAAATTATATCAAATAGAAATAAATTATGCCTTTCTTAAAAAAATAAAAATATATATTACTAAATGATAAATTAAATAATAAAAAAAGTATTCACATACTTTTACTTTAGTAATATTGACTAAATTATTATGCAAAATATGAAAAATATTAAAAAATATGTGAAAGAATAAAAAATAAATTAAAAAAATATTATTTTTCATAAAAATAAAATTGTAATAACAATAAAATATATCTTGAAAAAAGTTATAAAAAAAATTTGTAACAGTAATATAATATACCTTGAAAAAAAATTATTGAAAATTCTTTTAAAAAATGATATATATAACACATTACATTTGTAGTCTAAAATTTTTTTAATGGTAATTAAGATTAAATAGATAATTTTTAAATTAATTTTTTAAAATTTAAAATGGATATAACAAGTAATAAAGGTAATATTAAATTTTTTACATTTATTTGAAATATAAATTTGATAATTAGAGTTCAAATGAATATAATTATTTTGATAATCTTATTATTTAAAAATTTAGAATGAAAATTCTTAAAATTTTTAAAATAAGGTTATTCGATAAACAATTAAAATTATTTATTAAAAAAATAAAATCCAGATTTTATATTTTTAATTTAAAAAATATATTTCTAAAATGATTTATTTTTAATTATAATTTGTATAATTTTGATATTTAAATAATTTTAAAATTATTTAATCTATAATTAAAAAAATTATTTTATTTTTTAAAAAAATTATCGTATATGTTATTTAATAAAGTTATCCATATAAATGTCTATGTAACAAATTTATTTATGTATGTTATTATATTTTATATATATATATATATATATATATATATATTAGATGAATGGTTGTGAATAAGATCATTCTTTGACCAATATTTCTTTTTTACTTTCTTTGAAAACATCAAGCTATCTTAGTAGCATTTTTTAAATCATTTAAAAATAACTCAAAAAATAATATAAAGAGGATTCTCTTTTTTGTTTTTTGAAATATGGTGTTTCCAGACATCTTCAGATATTAAAAATTTTAAAATTTTAAAAAAATTCTTATAAAAATCTTTAAAATATTCTTTTAAACATTATGAAAAAATTAATAAATTTATAAACAATTTTATATTATATTTATATTTATATATATATTATAATGGACATATTGAAAAATATCCTGAATCCTTCGCTACATAATTTCATGTGGCAATGCTTGATGGGGCTTCAAACCCAGTTGACATCACTCTGCTGTCTTCATTATTAATTGATACCCAAAATGAAAAATTGAAAACCCAAAAAAATTGATCTCCCATTCCTTCAGTTATGCCCCAGATAAGGACTCCTATTAATTGGAGCATTGAGAACATTTGCTCTTCATAACTACTTCCACAGATTACGTGTTTAAATGCTTGGATCCTCACGCCGGAAAAATTGGATTTACTCATCTTGATTCGCAATTACCGATCATTACTTTCTTTGTCTATGCAAATGCAACATATGATTTTGATTTGGGTTGCCGACCCTACTTTTATTTTTTTTTGTTACATCATACGGGTAAAGTACAAATAAAGAGAAAGAAAAATTTAACTCAAAGTCAAACTCTTGACGTTCTCTCAATCGGCTTAACCATTAGACCAAAGGTTTGGGATCCGATCCTGCATTTCTTCTTCCTATCTTCTGCTTAAACTACTAAAAAAGTAAATTGCAATGATGTTTTCAAGCTGGGGTCTCAAACCCAACTCTCCAGTAGCCCAGATGGTCAACAGTGGCGCTTCACCTATCGAGCCCAGAGCTTTGATGGCCCATCCCCCGATCCAGTCGAGAACGGCAAGACTCCAAAAGTCCACTTCAATCGCGCGATAACGGTTGTAACGACCGTGCGACTCCTACTTCGGCACCCCGATTCCCGGACGATTTTTTTTTTTACATTAATTCCCGTACGATTTTGATCAATGTGTCTACGTATATATATATATATATAAGAGAGAGAGAGAGAGAGAGAGATCCTTCTCATTGCTTACTGATTTCTCTGATCCTTCGCAATAGCTTCTTTATTTGATTTCTTTGATCCTTCTCATTACCTCCCGACTTCTCCGAGACTTCACCTTTCTCTCTCTCTTGTTTTTTTATTTTATTTTCCTCCCCTTATTTCATTTGCTTGGCTGATTCTTCGCAACAGCTTCCTTCTTGAATTTTTCAATCATGACGCGGTTTGATCAAAGTTATTTAAACCGTGCATGTGCAATTTCACTAATCAATAACATATTTCAATCTTTTGTACTTGAGAACTTGAGCTACACATTTGTAATCCGACATACATGGCGCCAAGAAGGATGAAGCAGGAGGCCCAGAACCCAGAAATGGAGAAGAATTTGAAAGTGAGGGTCGAAGCCAAACGAGTGAAAGCAGAGATGGGAAAGATAAGAGAAGATCAAGAATACATAAGAGAGGAGCAAAGGAAAATAATAGGAAGGTTTGGAGAGATTGAAAGGCAATGCGATCAACTCAAAGAGGAAACTGAAATGATTATGAAGCAAACAGTCAGGACCCGAATTAAGGTCGTTTTGATGTTCAAAATCTTGAAAGCCCGGGAGGGTGGAGATTTCATTCAAGCTGCTACGCTCACTCACTTCCTTCGGTTCGTTTCTCCAAGCCCCTACTCATGTTATAATGTATTAGTTTGCATGTGATTAATTGACATTGAGTATCTAATTATACTTAGTTTCTACCTTTCATTTGCAGTGAGTTCGTTGCCAGGGAAAGAGCAAATGCAGGCTTGCCTGAAGTAAAAGATGAACTTCCATAGAAAACTCCCCAGCCACAATGGAGCAATACACACATATATATGTATGTATGTATAAAAAAGCTTCAGTTGTCTGATCTGTGTTTGCCTCTAGCTGAAGCCTCAGCATGAATGCAGTACCATTTGAATTTACATCGATGTATGTGCGTATGTGTGTGAGAGAGTGAGAGTGAGGATGGATTCATTTATATTGATGTATTTGTTATACTTTTTTACCTTTAAATTTGGATCAAAATAAATATTTTAAATTTTAACTATTTTGATCTAGAGGTAAAAAAAGTGTTACATTTATATTAATGTAATTGGATCGATATCCCAACATGTGTTGTGTGATAGAGTGAGAGAGAGAATTGAGAAAAAAAAAAAAAAAAGGGAATTATGCTTTGATTGTAAGGTTGAAGATGCGATGGATTTTCATAAATAAATGAACAGAACGTGTTTTGAGGAAACATACCTTAATTAGTTCCTCCAAATAGTCCTTTGGTTATAATTACTTGACTAAGTCTTGTGCTAGAAAGCTTTGACCAGCTGATATTTGAATAACTTCATGTGTTGCCAAGTCATTTGGGCAAGTCAGTTAATTTTGTTGGTTTTTATTATTGGACGATGGAAAGCTACTTCAAATCTCTTTTTCTGCGGCATCTTAGAACCTTCTCTTAAGTTTGAATTTAATTGTATTTCAAATAAAAAAATCATGTAAAATTAATTCCAATGAAGTATTAATTTAATGGTAACGAAAAAATTTTAAAACCCTAAAATTTTAGATTTAAGTCATATTATATTAATATGTGGGTTTGGTTCAAATTTTTATATTGAATTTGGTTAATTATGTTTTAATTTGTTGGATAGTTTGTTTATTTAATTATTCAGTGATTATAATAATAAGTAATATTTGATTATGATTATAATTTATATTTATAATTTTAAAAAATAATTTAATATTAATTATTGAGTTGAATGTTTAGATGTTTCACTTAAATTAACCTAAATATTTGAATAAGGATTAATTTGAAACTTAGAAGTTTCTTCCTAAACAATTTTCGACAATCTTTCATTGATTTTACATCCATTTTTTTAACTTCAAAATTGTTTACCACTCAACGTATCAAAATACTAGGAAAAAATTACTTAAAATCACACGACAGAACCAAAACCACCACGCGAGCCTCCATAATATTTGCCTTTCACCTATGTATTTATGATTAAAATGAGTTGTACCTCAAAAATATGTTTTGTATGTAAAATTATGATAAGATAAGATAATATTATAAATTAAATTAAATTAATAATATCATTTGATATTGTATTTGATTATCATTATATTTTATCAATCATTTTATACATCAAACATAACTAAAGTGTTCATGAATGAATTGAATTTATAAATAATATCAATATCAATATACTACTCGCTTGTCTAAACCCTATCTAATTTAATTATTCAAATTTTAAATTTTATTCAAATAAAATTTTTTTAATAAATAAAAGTATACTATTTTTTTATTAAAATTTACGACACGTGTAACTTAAACATATTTTTTATTGATTAAATAAACTATATGTACAAATATAAAAATAATATATTATATAATTTTTTTATAAGATTAAATTGAGTTTAAACCTTTGTATGATTGGTGCCAAGATTAATCTATTTTTTAAATAGACCTCTAAAATTTGGAGCAACAGTTAGATTAATCTAACGATAATCATAATATGATCAAATATAAAATAGTATAACATTATTTAATTTATTGATAATTATAATATCATCTTATCTTATTTTATTATAATTTTATACATCAAATACAACATAATGTGATTATGCATCAAAGACACTATAATGTAATTGGCTTCATAATTCAAACATTATATAAGAAATTTTTAAAATTCAAATATCACACTCAATATTTTATTACAGTTTAAGGGTCATTCATAATATTAATCTTTAATAAAATAATAAAATTTACATTAATATTTTAATATTTAAAATATGTTTAATAAATAAATTAAATAAAAATATATTATTTACTAAAAATTTTAATAGTCTCGTCCAACCATGTCCAAGCTTTGAAATGGTAGCCCAATTGGACATCCCTATGCATTGCCCTTTGTATACTCGGTTACTGCTACACAAATTAAATACAAATCCTTTTGTTTTCATTTCTTGTAATTTTTAATTGCTTAAAGAATCCAAAAAATTGCTACAAACAATAGCATAGAAAATTCCAAAATAAAAAACGATATTGTATTGTATCAATCGTTGTCCTGAGACCAAAATGATGACCTCATTTACCTATTTTTGTTGTTAACAAGTTTAGAACTAGAGTTTATGTGGAAATTTTTTAATTTTATGTTTTTTATTTCCAAATTTGTTGAAAATTAGAATAAATACATGTTTGATGAATGTTTTCATTTCCAAAAAATAAACAACAAAACATAATGTTTTTAAAACTGTTGAAAGAACAAAAAGTATATTTTCAAATCTCATAGTTTAGGTTTTGAAAATTTATTCATTATACATAAAATTATAGAATCATTGTTAATATTTTTTATTTAGAAGTAATTAATTACTTACGTGAATTTATTTATTTTAAAGTTATCAAGCCTAAATCAATGATCCCTAAAAAAAAATAAGTTTCGATCTACATTAATAAAATTAAAGTTTGAAAATCATTTATGTATAAAAAAAGTTTTAATACCTCATTAGGCTCAAAATTAATATAAAATTAATTATATGTTATCTTATTTAAAATTTAATCAAAGATTATTTTTTATCATACAAATAAATCAATTCTAATTATTTTTATTTATTTACCAAATATTGTCATACAATTTTTTTTTTTCATAATCAAATCATGCAATCATGGAATAAATCATGTCAATAATATTATGCAATAAATATAAAATCATATAATGTAATACATCATGTAATAATGTAAAATATTATGCAAAAATTATCATACAATAATATCATATCATGTAAATAAATATATAATTATGTAAATTCATATAAATATGCAAAATAATTAATCATGCATTTAAGTTAAATTCATATACAAATACTATGCAGAAATATATATTATAATTATTCATACAAAAATATAAAATATCAAGCAATTATATGTTCTTACCAAAAATATCCAAATAAAAGCATGTACATAAAATCATAAATAAACATGTAAATAATAAATATCTTACCAAAATGTTTTATTTTTTTACTTCAATCAGCACTTGAAATAACAAAAAAGAAAATAAATAATAAATAAATAAATTGGGGATAAACATCATGACCAAAAAAAATTTTAACAAACAATCAGGTCGGTCATTGTATGTCCACGCGGGTCTGAAGATGCAAACAGTTTTGATTCTTCTATAGCCCCAAACGGCACCGTTTTCTGTAATTCCTTCCAAGCCAAAAATATTCTTCTTCTCTTCCCCTCTCTCGACACAGATAAAGATGACAGTCTAATCCGTAACTAACGAATTCGTCTACATCTGATCTGATGTTTTAAGATTGAGTTTTTAGTTGGATCGAATCCGTTAATTATAAAATAAAATTAGAATCAGATTTTAAATAAATTCATCCAATATATATAAAAATTTATTTTTTAATTATATATATTTTGATTAATATTTACATTAAAAAATAATATTTTATTATTTTTATATCGAATCGAATACGATTTTACGTAATTTTAAATCTAAGTTAAATTCAAATATTATGGAGATAGAATCCCATCGGATTTGAGACGAGCAGAATCCGCCTCCGGACCCGTTGCGATCGCGAGACACAGACCGCCTCCTTTATAGAATTGAAGAACACCAAAAAAATTTCCAGCAACCCAGATTCTGGCGCTGATCCGCCGCCGATCTCGCGGCTCCTTGTCTTCCTCTTACCCTTTTCTTCTCCCTCTTATATTCTGCTCTTTACCCGAAGAACAGCCACCCAGATTCAAGAACAAGACCGCTGGTTCTCTCAAATCCAGATACCAATGGAATCTCGCCATGACCGCCGCCTGTCACCACCGTAGGGAAATCAAGACCACTGCCTGAACCAGCAGTCGCAGTCGAAATGGCCAAGGATCTTCCCTTCTCTCTAGCTTCTCTCTAAGTTTCAAACCCAACCCAGAAAACAGTCTCCTGCCGCCGCTTCCTCCACTATCGGCCACCACGCCTGTGCCAGAAGCCTCTCCTTTTTCGAACACTTTTGATGATAATTGTGTCTCGTTTATTGCTTCTGGGTTTACTGGGTTTGGGTTCCCTACTGCGGGATTGGTTACTTGAATGTTGATCTCTATACGAGTCTGTGGGTTCTGTCTTTTCTGGATTGGTGATGAACTGCTGGGTTCTGGGTTTTCTTCTTATTGAATTTGATTGATGAAATTGTTAGCGAATTCTTTGCTGCTTGTGTTGTGAAATTTGGCTTTGAATTGCTTGCTGGTTTGCTGGTGAATGTGTGCCTCTGCTGTGTAATTGCTGCTGTTATCCTCTACTCTGTCCGGTCTGCTTCTGTATGGCCTTTTTGCTCCCAGCTATTGTGCCAATTCTTCCCCTGCTGATTGTTTCTTGCCTTGTGCTGGGAATCGCTGCAGGTTCATGACCCTGTTTTCAATCTCAATTTCTGTGTGTAATTGTAGTGGCTGCAAATTAAGTTTGGGTATTGCTCACTGCCTTTGAAATTGTTTCTCTGGCATTTCAGTGTTTAATTGAGGCTAATTGTTGTGCCAAATTTTGCTCACCGCCTCCCAAATTTTATGTTTTTCCATGGCCGATTGTGAATTGTCCTCCCTTGTGATCACAAATTGAGAGCCTTTATGGGGATAAAATCAATCATATTCCACCGAATCTAGCAAGATTTCTCGAGATTGTTATTTTTTGTGATCTTTTCTTTTTTAATAGATTGGAGCTCATCAATTTCCAAACAAATGTAAGATCTTTAAGTTCCATATAGATTGGAGCTTATCAATTTCCAAACAAATATAAGATCTTTAAGTTCCATAATCCAAACTGAATAAGGACAACATGTCAATAACTTTTTTTTTTTGTTTTCTACTTTTTTTTTAACAAATTTCTTGACTTTTTGACTTTCTGTCTATGACTTTTTTACTTTTCTTTTTTTTGACTTTTTGATTATGACTAGAAATAAAATCAAAATTAAAATTAAATTAAAAATTTTGAACTTTCAACTATTAGGCTAAAAAAGTTTTATTAAGTTCTAATTCCTGGTTAAAACGTATTTGAATCTCAATTTTTTTTCAAAACAAAATGGATATTTACATCGAGATTTTAGAAATTACAACAGTGCCAATTTTAATGTTCTGCTATTTTTAAATTTAAAGCCCTGTTTTAAATCTATGTTGACAAAAGTATTTTATCAAAATATATTTTAAAATTCAATGAATTAGAATTTTAAAAAACTAATAAATTAAAATAAATCAAAACAAAATTTTAAGAAAAACATAAAATATGAACTTGTTAACATTGGCAATAATATTAAACTATTCTTAAAATAAATTATGATATATGTAATGCATGAATTAACTTTATCATTTTAATATCGGTATATGCATACAAATTAGTTTTTTTCTAAAATTATATTCAAATTTTCAAAAATTATAATATATATAATCCATATATACTAACTTGAAAAAAAAAAAGTTTTTTAAAAAAGTAAGGAGAAAATGATATGTCTTCCATTTAGATTATTTTTATTTACAGTAATATTTATACATTTATAAAATTATATCAAGTGAAATAAATTATATATTAAAAAAACATATATATTATTAAATGATGAATTAAATAATAAAAAATATTAACATATTTTCACTTTTGTAATATTAATCAAATTGCTTTACAAAATATGAAAAATATTATGAGATATATGAAAAGATATTATTTGTTAGAAGAACGAAATTATGATAGTAATGAAATATATCTAGGAAAAAAGGTTGTAAACAAAAAAAAATGTTGAAATAATAATAGTATATACTCTGAAAAAGGTTACAAACCAAAAATTAAAAATTTGATATAACGCATTATATTTAGTTTTAAATTTGTAAAATAATTTTTGAATTATTATTATGATTTGATAGATAATTTTTAAATAAAAAAATATATAATAAGCGATAAAGATGAAATCAAAATTTTTGCATGTGTTTGAAATATAAATTTGATAATTAGAGTTAAAATGAATATAATATTTTGATGATTTTATTATTTAAAGATTTAATATGAAAAGTTATTTGAATTGTCAATGTTTTATGTAAAATTTTTAAAAGATAAATTTTTATTGATTCAAATTTCAATAAAAATGATTGTTAAAGTATTTGAATAAATCTAAAAAATTATATTTTTATTTTAAAAACATATTTTTAAATTGATTTGCTTTTCAATTATATTTTAAATAATTTTAATATTTAAATAAATTTAAATTACTTAATTTGTAATTAAAGGGAGTTATTCTACAATTTTAAAAAATTATTTTAGCGTGTCATTTAAAAAATTATTCAAATAAACATTAATGTAATAAATTTTATATGTTTATGTATGTTGTAAAAAATATATATTTATATATGTAATTTTTATTTTTCAAAACAAGTATTTTTTTCTCTAAAATCTTAGGGGTTTATCTCTACTTCGATAAAAAAAAAAAAAAGAAATCTCATCCATTAATCAAGATTCGAATCATGAATAATTGGTGATTTTTGAATTAGGTTAGTCATTTAAAAGAAAAACAAAAGTAAGCAACTGCAACTTTTAAACGGCTAAACCGAGTTTGGTCTAAGCACGAAATTAACCCCCAAGTCCAACGAAAGACCCAAAAGTCTCAACGATAGCTTTCCGATTCTACCTTTTTTCCGTTAATTCCCATCCCATCACTATATTATCGCGAGAGGCAGTCCGCAACAGAACCTGCCCATGTCGTGCTCACTACTTTAAAATCCCAATTATACCCCTCTTTGTCCTTTTTGCTTATGGTAATATCAAAACGCCCAATTTCCAACTTATTTTCTGATTATATTTGCACCTTCAATTTCCAAATTTTCAGTTAAGCTCACTTCTCTGCTTTATTTTTCCCCAAAGTCTCACCCAAAAACCAAAAAAATTTCCAATCTAATCAGCAATCTTAAGAACCCTAACGTTTCCACATTAAACTTTCTAAAAATCGGCTGCCTAAACCTTAGAACTTTCCCTTTCTCCTTTTATCTTTCACTTGTATTATACCATCCAAAAAAAAAATTAAAGAAACCCCAAAATCCCCAAATAATTCTCAATTCTTCATGGATTCAACCCCTGATTTTCCTTTTGATTTCTCCTTTTCTGTCTTTTCCATATTACAGTATCTATCTCCACAATTCCCATAAATAAGAAGTTTCTATAATTTATTTGTTTTTAGAAAGCCTAAGTTTTTTGTTATTTATTTTTTGATGGAGTCGTATCCAGTCGTTTTCGATATAAGCTCCGACGACGATGAGGCGGCGTTGGCTTGGGAGGAGCCCAAAGGGGACGACTACGATTGGTTATCGGAAGTTTTGCAAGCCGTTGATAAGGGATTCGACGATCCTGATGAGGTGGTGGTGGTGGGGGAGGTCAACCCTATTAGGAAGTCAAAGTCATCGAACTCATCGATCAGGAAGGTTGTTGATGAGGATGATGATGATTGTGTCGTTTTGGAATGTGACCCGGATAAGGCGTTGTCGGATGTTAATGATCCCCGAGAGGATTCCGATGAGTTGCTTATTGTCGGCCAAAAGGGGCAGGTAAATTTATACTTAATAAAATTTTGTTGTAATTTTTTTTTCAATGTTTTGTTGCTGAAAATAAAACAAGCGGTTTCTATGTGGTTTCCAGTAGTTCCCAGTGAATTTTGTGATTGGTGTCTGCTAAACAGGGTAAGAGAAAAAACAAAATTATTGGTTCTTAATATATATTGTGGATATGGTGATTTCGCGATCTCTATGTCCTTGCCATGAGAAGGAAGGCTTCGTTTGGTGTTGAGTTTTAGGATTGGTTAATATTACAAAATGGTTATTGAGATTTCTGGGTTCTGAACATTGATCGTTAAAATTGATTAATAGTTTTTTTTTTTTTTATTTCTTGAATATTTTTTGCGTCTTTCACTGTAGTTCTGGATTTTTCTAGTATGTGTTCTAGCTCCAGCATTTTAAATGTTTATGTCGTTTAGAGATGTGATATGCATTTATTCACTTTTTCAACTTGTTGAAGCACCTTCCATATGGGTTCATCAGTGTGTTGTGTTATAAATTTTAACTTGGACAGCAAAGTGAGGATTGGGCCTTTGAAAAGCATTATCATCTGGTGCAGTGAGAAAATGTGCCCTAGTCCTTCCCTCTTGCAAGAGCTAGATCACTAATTTTTGGAGAAAGAGGAGATGTGAAGATCAGTAGTTTTTCCTGAAGGCAAATATTACAGGGTTGAACTTGCTGCAAGAAAAAATGCGGTGTCAGAGAACTAAAAGGACCTATCTTTGTGCTTAGGCGATCTTAAGAGCGTGATATACCTTTTTGATTGATATTGAAGTAGACCAAATGGTTCAATCTTTTTGCTGAAATCTCAAAAGATTGAAAGTTAATGAGGCTCAGAGTTTTAAGTTTTCTATTATGGGATATATGGGAGCTGAGGTGATCTTAGGGGCGTTTGCATACTGGTTGCATAACTTCTTTCTTGTTTATATTTAATGTTGAACCTACTCTTTTTCCTTTTGCTTTATACACATTCAAGACTCTTATCTCCTGGGCATCATATTTCTGATAGGTATCTCATTTTTCTCTTTGATCTGGTTGCAGATTGCATGTAGAGATTTCCCCCATCCACGTCATGATTGTGCTAAATTTCCTTTCAGTTCTACCTCACACAAACAGCACTGTGAACTGGTAAATATGTTAATTTTTTGAAAAAAATTACTTGGAACTTTTTACTTTTGAGATGGTCGATTGCTCCACTGTTTCAGAGTTGGGTGCTCATAAATTTAGCATGCATTTCAAATGCAAACAATGAATGTCCTTTTGAAATTGCAGTGCCATTGCTTTGTTTGCGACACGCGAGCACCATGTCGTTTTTGGGGCTCAGATAGCTGTAATACTGATCATTGTCATGCCACTGATAAAGAGCAGATGTGGAAGGCTCTGCGGAAGAACTTCAGGCTTGTAGGAAATGTTCCAATAGAAGTTGCGAATGCTCCTGTCACTTCTCACTCTACTGCACTGCCCCAACTTAACCAAGATCCAAGTTGTGACATTATTTGGTCCACAATGCAAAATCAAGTTTCTGGGCTAACTCCAACTCGAGCTGCTCGGAACTGCATACCTCAAAATCATGTCCCAAAGCCATCCATTATTCGGGCTTGTTCTTCCTCCTCCAGATATGGGAATCCATATAACCCAAGTCTGGGTAGCCGACCTGTTTTAAATAAAAGCATAATGCAGCCACGTTCAGTTTCACAGCAGTTGCTAGGCGTGCATAATACTGTAATTCGAAGAGATCGAGGCATTAAGATTAGTAACTTGGGTTCCCAATTTGTCTCTTCCAACACAATGTCCAAAAGACTTGAGATTCAAGTTACCTCAGCAATGAACCACGCTGCATACATGCCATCAGAAAATATTACTTTTGTTCATGCATCCCAGAATCAACAAAATCCTGCTCCAGTTGCAATATCAAATGAAAGGAATTCAAATCCCATTGGCTGGCCAAATATTTGTTCTGGCACAAATTTAGGGACATATACACATCAGAGCTCCTCACAGCCTAGCATGGACAGCGTCATTACAAACTCAGCACCCACCCAATCCTCAGCATACAATCAGCCTGTTCCTCAGTCAAACGTACATCAAGCTGCCAATCACCTTCAGTTTCAAAATCAGCCTGCAACAGATTATGGTTTTTCAGATTATGACTTTAATTTGGTCAACATTGGTCAAAACAATCAACAATCTTTTGTCGATTATTTACAGCTTCAAACCGCAGGGTCCACAAATGAGAAAGAACAATTGAAGGAGGTAAATGATGGAGATAAATCATATTACAATGATCTTGAGAGCTTCCTTTTTGATGACCAGTCCGTTCCTGAAGGTTCATTTACTGCAGAGCTTAATCCAATGTTTGCCTGGTGATGTATCTTTTGATACTGTTATGTTTTTCTTTGATATTGACACCTCTTGGGATCGTCTAACTCGTGCATAGCTGATCAGCATTGCCTGTGCATTCTAAACAGGTAAATCCGGTCCTTGTGCCATGAACCTTGAAAGAGAAGTGAGAGATAGGTTGCTAGGTTGTAGGATTTTGGTTTTGAAATTGTATTATAGAAGCTTCGATGGTGTACAATTGTATAAAAAGAGACGGGCTGAATGATGTTGTACAGAAGCTGCTTGTTGCCCAACTTTCAATAATTATGAATCCAAAAGCACCAGATTATTGCAAATGATTCTTATTAGCAAATTTCCTTTATGAGAATGTCAGGGTTTCAAAGTTTTCCATGCTTTCCTGATGTTTTTTTTTCCTACACGAGGCACTTACAGCTCTATCGCCATTCAACTCAGGTTTGTCATTTGCGGGGTGGAGACCAGTTCAAAATCAAAGTATATTACATGCAAATTACATCTTAATATGATGTTTAAGTGGTAAATACATAATTAACAAATACATAAGTATATACATAAATAAATATATTTATACATAAAATTAATTATATATAAATAAATAGTTATAACGTTATAAATACAAAATACAAACATAGAACTAATATATAATTGTATAAATATATTTATAAAAACTTTAATATAATATTTTAACTTTTTTTTTCATCTCAATCACTATTTTATAATCCAAACATATATACTACTGATTTTAATTTTACAATTTCATTGACTAATCTTTTCAATATTAAACTAATAATTTAAAATACGAGATGATAATAAGATATAAAAAATGATATAAAAATATTAAAAAATAATATAAATTAAAATTTATATAAAATTTAATAAAATTAAATATATATTTTATATTTTTAAATTTAAAATAAATTATAATATGTAATTTTTATATACAGCGTAAATACAAAATTTACGAAATCTACGTAAAGTGTGAGATCAAGCTGGGTTTTAAAAGGAAGCGGCTTAGGACTCGATTTACATTTAAAAAAAAAAGTGGCATTTCTCAAGTTTCTTTCTTTCTTCCTTCTCGACAATTCTATTACCATACTTTCTGTTTTCCATACCTCTCCTTCCAGCGAACAGCAAAACAGTTAAGCCAATAAAATGGCGCTATGGATGGAAACAGGCTCTGAACCCAAAACTGAAAGTGAGATCGCTGACCTTCAAGCCATTTCTGCCCTCAAAGAATCAGCTGCTCTCGAACTCAAGGTTTTTTCTCTTTATCCTCTTTAACTTCGAAAAGCTATAACTTTTTACCTTCTTGTTTGTTTAAAATCATTCTTTCGAAAATTGAGTCTTTCAGGAGAAAGGCAACGAGTTTGTGAGAAAGGGAAAAAAGCATTACCCAGAAGCGATCGACTGTTACAGTAGAGCCATCAACCAGAATGCTCTAAACGGCCCAGACACCTCCGTTTTATTCTCAAATAGAGCTCATGTAAATTTACTTCTCGGAAATTACCGCCGTGCCCTCTCTGACTCTCAAGATGCCATTAAACTCTCCCCTGAAAACGTTAAGGTACTACTACTTTCAGTTATTGTCCTTTTTCTTTAGGTTGGTGTTTCAGAAAAATGAACGTTTTTCAAGATTTGGGTCACTTTTGAACATCTTTATTTAGGCGTATTATCGAGCTGCCAAAGCGTGTCTGTCGTTGAATTTGTTGTCCGAGGCGAAGTCTTATTGTGAAAGTGGAATTGAAAAAGACCCAAGTAATGAGGAGTTAAAGAAACTGGCAAAGCAGGTTGATTTGAAGAAGTTGGAACAGGAACAGCGTGAAGCTCAAGTATCCAAGGCTCTTGTAGAGGCTAAGGTTTCAATAATTGGACTCTGCAAAAACCCCTTCTCTTAATTAAAATAAGAAAATGAAGTGCTTTGGGTCTTATATGCTTTGTGCTTGATTAGGACCTTGTTTCTGCTATAGAAGATCGAAGGTTGAAGCTTGGGAGGGCAATGTATAGAGAACTTATCGGACTAAGGAAGCCGGTGTTGGATAAAAATGGAATTCTTCATTGGCCTGTTTTGCTACTCTATGCGGAGGTTATGTCCAGTGATTTTATAGAGGATTTCTGCGAAACTGACATGTTTTCAGCTCATCTTGATATCATATCCTTTTTGTTTTCACCTTTAAAAATCAAAATGGTTGTTAGTTTCGCCAAATGATTGTAATAACTTCTGTTCTGTATGCATTATGTAAGTATCCTTAACTCTCAAACATGTTTTCAGAAAGTTGTCCACTTTTACCATGGGATAAAGAAAACCATTATGCCCGTGAAGTTATTGAACTCTACTATGAGGTAAGTCTTTGTTGACAATGAATTAATAATTATGATGCATTCAAGTCTCGAGGGATTGAATTGGACAAATTTGATTTTAGCATGCTGGCATTGATATCTTATATTAGGTTCAAAATGGTTAATGAAATTTACCGTGTCTGTCATTGGCTAGTATATAGTAGTTTAGCAAAATGCCTGATTGCCTACTTGTAGGCTGTAGCAACTTTTCTTCGAAAGAGAGATTGTACCATAGCTGTCTTAAGACAGCTACTGACTCAATGTTAAATTGGTAAGCATCTAATGAAAGTATTCTAAAGGAGCATTAAAATCACTGTGGTTTGCTGGAGTCAAAGACATGGAGGCTGTTATCATAGCCTAGCAGTCTTGGTGTTCATTTTTTTTATCCTTGATTTTTGTCAGGCTGGTTCTGGGGTTAGTCTGTCTAAGACCAAAATTCTCCATTATCTCCTAGAAGGAACTGCAGCTGCTAATGTGGAAAACATTGGAGAGGAAGAAAAAGATGCAGCTGATGGTTCTCCTTATGGTAATTCTACAGGTCGAATGTTTTCTAAACTACCTTTCACATAAAAATTTTTCTTTGCTAGTTGCTTTATTTGGTAGCTTTCTGTTGCTTGAGTAAAATTGGTGAAGCGTAGGGCCAATTTTTCCTTTTTGAAATTATTTTAAAAGTTACATTGCTGTACTGTACTTGTTGGCAGCATGGGATGATCACCACCTTTTTATGTAGCTATTGATGCAGTTTCTTTTTAATCCAAAGATGGAAAAGTTTTTATCAAATTTTATTTTTTATATTTTCTGACAATCTATTATTATACCTGGAGGATTGATGACAATATGAGGTTCATGACCTAGTTTCTACTTCCCTATTTTTAATTAATTTTTCTTATATCAATTTCTCAAAGATGATTTGTTGGGAATGGTGGTTTAATAGTTGGTATAAAATAGTGGCATCTCTTCGAGAATAATGTCAGTGCCATTTGGCTACAGGGTAGAGTGGTAAATACTTTGCTTGTCTGTACAATTTATGGTTGCATTCATTATCACAAATTCAAGAACATCAAATATGTGCGGATTCTTTTGCACTATGACCATGCAGCTACTTGGTTGTATAGCATTGCACTTATCTTCTCTGACCTAGATTGGCAATTGGACTTACCCATGCTTGTGAACTCTGAATTAGCTGTGCTTACCAAGATGAATATGCTCAATATATTAATTCCTAGAAAAAGGAATAAACCTCTTTTCTCATTAATTTTGGTTACACTACACAATACCACAATACTTTTATCTGAAGTTCCAATGATTAATGCTCCAGGTTCATTCAAATGGGTCAAAGTGAATGAAAAAAGAACACTTCATGATGTATTGAAAGAACAAAACTTCATTGTCCCAATGATACCAGGTTTGTCTTTATAAAACGTTCTACCATTCTATGCATAACGAATCAAGCAGCTTATCATGATCTTTTTGTGAATAAGTACAAATGCACATTTTCTGTAACTAGTGGAATTATTTCGTTATTTGTTTTCTTTAATTACCTTGTCTTATTTCCTTGTTGCAGTCTTTTACGTAGTTTCAAAAAGATCCAGCTTTTACAAAGACTTCAGAGCTGGAAAATGGGCACCTCCAGTGTAAATAGAATGTACCTGCTAGGCAGTTAGCGTTGGTTCTTATTGTATCTTGAGAGAGTCAAAGCAAGCAGTTTTTACGTACTCTGTTATACAGTGGTAATGGCGTTCATTTGCAGAAGCTGTTGCTTGGACTCTAGACGTTAAGAAGCAGCTTTGAGTATGTTAAGCTAAGTCAAGCTGTTCATCCGCAAAGACAAGGTTGAAGTATTATTTTCTAAGGGGTTTTCATTTGTAAGTTAGTTGCTGTTTCATAGTTGTTATATAACAAACACAAAAGTCGTTGGAATCTCCTACTCTTCAGCAATCAGGAGTCTCCGGGCTCTTGGCTCCTTTAACCTTGTAAAAAAATAGAATCCCCAACAACTACACTACCAGTACCCTGGAATCTCCTACTCTTCTGTTTGATGGAATATTCAATCAATTATCAGTTCCTTTTGTTTCCCTTTTGTTTCCCAGTTTGAAGAAACATTTTGCATCCAAGAAATAACTCGAAGATTTGATTCTTCATGAACAAGGAGAAATAGATGATTTTGAAGCCTTTGTCTATTAATTATCAGTTTCCTACAGATAACAGTGGCACATCTAATGACTGTAACAGATTATCACCCATAATTCTTTTTCTTCATTCTAAAACCTTAGAATCAGACCTCTCAATAGCTATACAACCAACACTTAGCTGGCTGATCCTATTAAATCAAGTATCAATCAACTAGAACAACCATTGATTAAACTAATTGCGTCCCTAAAATCCTAGTGGTGGATTGTTTGCATCATTTTCATGATCATTATTATATTCATAAACCTGACCACCGTGGCTTGTCAAATCAATTCCAGCTATCTCCTCATCTGGGGTAACCCTCAATAGATTCAACTTATGCAGAATGAAAAATAGTGTTCCCATTGTGACAGTCACCCAAGACAATCGCCAAAATCTGCACGAGATGTGCTGCAAGGAGCCTTGCTCCAAGTCCCATCAACAAGCCATAAGGCCTTCCAGGTTGTCCTGGATAAACCTCTTTCACATACTTCTCTTCTGCAAACAATGCTGTGAATATTATTCCCCATGAACCACATCCTCCCTGAAGCTGTGCTGCCTCCAAAGGGTCATCATAATGGAATTTCTCCGCAAGCTTGTTGAATCCAATTAGAAACCAAGTGGCAACAAAACCACAAAGCACTGCTGCCCAAGGTTCAACAACAGAGCAGCCACCAGTTATTGCTGCAAACCCACCAAGCAACCCATTGCAAACATCAGTGACATCCAGTGGCCAGCAAGTAATCTCTTTGCAAATAGAGTTGTCAAAGCAGCACTACAACCGGCAAGAGATGTGGTCACAGCTGTTCTACCAACAGCACTCCATTGTCCATAAGAGGATCCACTTTTGCCGTAAGCTTTCAAGATATTGAAAAATGAACCTGGGTTGAATCCATACCATCCAAACCATAGCAGAAATGTGCCTAGGACAACCAATGTACCGCTGTGTCCGCGTAGAGATATAGCTTTTCCAGAATGATCAAAACGGCCAATACGTGGACCAATACGTGGACCTTTAATCAATGCACCCCATAGGCCTGCAATAGCACCTACCAAGTGAACCCCTCCAGAGCCAGCAAAATCAATAACCCCGGATCCAAATAAGAGATTATCAGATCTAGTAGGGCTCCCCCAGCCATCAGCAGACCAGAACCAGTGTGATACAATAAGGGTAAACCAAACCAGTCAAGAAAGACTAGTAAATCAAATAAGCGACAAACTGAGTTCTCTCTGCTATCGAGCCACTGGTGATCCCAGCAGCAGCAATAGCAAACGCCCATTGAAACAAGAAATAGCCACAATCAAAAGACGGGGTAGGGAATCTACTCAGGCCAAAGAAATACTGTCCAATGAAGCCATTTGATGGTGCCCCAAATGCCAATGCAAAACCAAAGAGATAATAAAATAGACCACCAGCAGCAGCATCAAGGACATTAGTAAGCATGATATTCATGGTGTTCTTGGCACGTACAGAGCGAGCACATAGCATGGCGAAACCAAGCTGCATGGCAAAGACAAAGTACGTGGAGAACAGAATGTAGCTGTTGTCCACGGCATAGCCAGTGTCGATGAACTCGTTAGAAACCGCATCAAAACGGCTACATATGTACTCTGCCACGGCAGTGGCATTGGCAACACTACCTAGTAGAGGGCGTAGGTCACTGGCAGAGCAACCGAGCGAATCCATTGGGAGGTATAGACAGAGAAAGATGCCAATGTGTGTGCTACAGATTTTGGTATTAGCTTGGACAGAGATACATATGGAGAGGAAGATCTGGGATTCCAGGCTGGGATTTGGTTTTGCAGTGAGAAGATTCCTGGTGATCCTACTTTCAAAATCTTTCTCAAGTTAGATTCTGTACTGTAAACAGTTAAGAATTGCAGGAAATTGGGATTCCTTAGTGCTATTTTTTAGTTCGGAGGAATCGAACCAAGCAAATCAACAATACGAATTTCAACTGTGATAATGTTTTTCCATAAAAACGTACCGGGTTCTAACGGCCGCTTTGCATTTAACTCTATGCAACGCAAATTCTGTTCTGTTCATTGAGGAATATTCCAAAAAGAGAATCTTTGACTACATTTTTGCTGATCAATTTTCTACCCCATTGTTTAGGAAAGTAATCGACATTTATGTGCGCATGTCGCTGTGAAGGCCCAGTCAGATATTCACCCAAAAGTGAAAAGACAATTAGTCAATACTTTCAAGTTTCAACACAAAAAAAAGGAAGGGTTTGAATGAAATGGGAATTATTCAACATTTTCAAAGCAAAACATGGAACAGAGATCAAGAGTCCTTGCACAGGTGAAAAACCAAAAATTGGAAACATTGACGTTTGATACTCATGGACACCATAATGCAGATGATTTAGTGCTCAATTATTTTATTCATGCATCAGGTTCTCTTTTAATATGGTAAAGCAAACATTCACTCAAGGTTGAAAAACTAGGCTTTAAAAGCAGTTTGTTCCAACACATTCCAGTCTCTATTTATAAGATGGTAATAAAGTACATGCCCGGTTCCAGAGGATGGGCATGGAGCTCTTCACAGATCACCCCTTTGGTTCACGCATGTAGTGTCATTCATGCATCTTAAGCACACATCGGAGGCAACCCCCTTCATGCATCAGGTCAAATGCCTTGTTAATCTCTCCGACAGTCAAATTGTGGGTAACATACTCATCAATTTTGATTTCCTGCAATGGAAGTTATAATAAAATAATGCGGACACAACAGGGTTAAATATAGAATGCACACAAACTGCATTTACCTTCTTCATGTACTTGTCCACAAGCCAAGGCACCTGTGAACGGCTCTTGAAACCACCAAAAGCAGTCCCTTTCCAAACGCGACCAGTCACCAATTGGAAAGGTCGAGTAGATATCTCCTGACCTGATGCTGCAACACCTACAATAACTGATGTTCCCCAGCCCTGAAAGGTTTTCAGGTGCATTAAAAGTGATCTCCCATTTACGCAATCATTAATGCTCTATAAATTCAGGCACCACTCACCTTGTGACAGCATTCCAAAGCGGCCCTCATGACAGAAACATTTCCAATGCATTCAAAACTGTAATCAACGCCACCATCCGTGAGATCAACAAGGACCTGTTGAATTGGTTTATCATAGTCCTTTGGATTCACAAACTCTGTAACTCCAAAATTCTTTGCTGCAAGTTGCAATTCACCAAAAGGAAAAAAGAATAATCAAATAGAAGTTATAAGTGATATAGATTTATTACAAAGAAAGATAAGCAAAACAATATCCACTCATTTTCTTGCAATTTATCCCCATTGCTCACTTTACACAGAATATTAACTGAATATTTCATATTAATATTTACCAAATGGTTTGCTTTCTAAGCATTATTTGGTAAATTACTAACCTACATCAAACTTTTTACTGTCAATATCTATGCCAATTATTCTTGAAGCACCAGCTGATTTTGCACCCTCTGCAACCTGCAACATTGCATTCAAAGATAACATAAACAATTTAACATCTAGCAGACTGGCACCACAAAGAGAACTGTGGCAATAAAAAACACTTTGAAAAGAGAGTTTAAAACAGACATAGAAGTTCCTAATAAACAGTAAAAAAAATTTCTAGCATGTAAGATGCATATTTGATACTTACTGCAAGACCAACAGTCCCAAGGCCAAAAATAGCAACAATTGACCCTGGTTCAACTTTGGCTGTGTTCCATACTGCTCCAAGTCCTATCCAACACAAACTATATATAAATATGAAGGTTTGTGCAAAAGCTGCAGTATACACAATCATAAACCAAATATATATACACTGTCAAATAAAAAATGCAATTGCTATCATTTAGATGATAATGTACGGAATTACAGATTCCTGAAGTAAAGAGAAACTTAAAAAATCCCTTACCAGTTGGAACACCACAACCAAGAAGGCATACTTTGTCCAAAGGAGCTTGTGGATCAATCTTTGCAACACTAACATCATGTACAACGGTGTACTGGCTAAACGTTGAAGTGCCCATGAAGTGGTAGATTAGTTTTCCATTTATTGAGAAACGGCTCTTGCGATCATTCATCATCACTCCAGCTCCGGTGGCTGTCCTAACTTTGCCACATAGGTTTGTCTTTCCTGATTTGCAGAACTTGCATTCTCTACACTCTGCCTGGTAACAAGGAATCACATGATCACCTGGTTGAACTTCAGTTACACCTTCACCAACACTTTCTACAATCCTGCACTCAAAAATTCAAACAAACCTCCCTCTTTAGCAATCAAGTGGCTCATAAACTATAAGAACTAATAGGAAAGAACATACCCAGCAGCCTCATGTCCAAGAATGCATGGGAATAGACCCTCAGGATCCTGAAAAGGAAAATCAAGCATGTTAGACGTCATAATTAAACAGCTGGTTAGAAAATATCCAAACAGGAAGGAAAAAAAAAAAAAACTTGAACCAGACTAGACTAGGCGTTATCATAATCACTACAAGAGCATACCCAAAAGAATAAAAAGAAAAAAAATTATGTTCTTATCAATAGTATTGCACTATAATTTATCATTACCAAAAAGCAGTGAAATCAACGTAGAACAACATTATACACATATCTTTCATGCTTTGAAGCAAAAATATAGAGTAAGATAAATGCTCCCATTTAGCATTGAATTTCCAATTTTTCTTTCTTCCTTTAATAATCCTGTATGCATAGCATTTTGAAGCAGAAACCCATTCCCTAGGGAAAGAGCGGCGTTTGTTGGGATAGAAAAAGCTAAATAATCCATTTCTTTTGTTTCATTTTCAAAAGTTCCTTTTTAAGATAAAACAACTGATGCTGCTAATATTCCAAAACAAATATATATATATATAGAGAGAAAATGAAATGCCCTCTCGATTTTATTATACTAAGAAAGCAACTGAGATATAGAAAATGGAAAAGGAAACACCTTTCCGCTCCAAGTGTAGGCATCAGTGTGGCAGAGAGCAGTGAAAAGAACCTTGATCCGAACCTCACCGGCTTGCGGTGGAGCCACCTGAACATCCTCAATGACCAGCGGCTTGTTCGGTTCATAAGCCACCGCCGCTTCACAAACGCAACCGCACACATTATAATTATTAGGGTTTCAAGACAACTAGCGAACGCATCATCATAAAACGAAAACGAGGAGATAAAGAGAGTACCTTTACAAGTAATGACTTGCCCTTGAGTAGCCATTGATGAAACAAAGCTTTTCAGAAGAACATGAAATTCCAGAAAACAAAAATGAAATGATTTTTTTTTTTTTTCAGTTTAGAGAAATTGACAAAAGCTCTAAATAAAGCCTTACGTATTTTCCACTCAAATCGATGATATTTATTTCTTGGTGGACTATCACTGACCCGGATTTTGTAAGCCGGGCCCATAACCTTTTTGACTTTAAGCATTAGTTTTTTTTTTTTAATTTGTGAGATAATTCATTATTTTATTACATTGGCAACAATTGATAGAAAAAAAGACTCATTATCAATATTAAGGTTTGAGGGAAAACGTAAAGAAAATAAATGAGAAAAAAATAGTACTTTGCTTTTATATATTTGAAAATGTTTCTTTTATATTAATCTACATTATTCCATAATTTATTAGGTAATTGATTTTTCTAAATAACATAAATTTACAAGTATTATCCATAATTTAATACTTTTTTGTCTTTTTTTTTTCGGTAATGTTCTAAAATTTTATTTTTTTAAAAAATTTATATTTATTTTTTAAATTTTAAAATTATATTTTTAATTTTTTTAACTTTTAAAATTAAAAAAAATAAATTTTAATTTTATAAAAAATTTAATTTTAATATAAATACATTAAAGACAATACTTTTTTCTTAATTTTTTTCAAAATCAATTCGATTCAAATATTTTGAGATGGAAAAAATATTTAAAAATAAAATAATTAAGTGTTCACACATATAATTTCATTTTTTCTATCATTTTCCATGTGTCTTTTTTTAGTTTCTTAAATAAAAAAAAAAGAAAGAAAAAGGACGGGCTGCAACAAGACTTACATGGGCAAAAAGTCCAAGTTCTATTCATAATCTTTGGGAATTACTATGGGTTGGCTTTATCGTGGCCCGGCACCTTCAAAAATCTGACCCCTATTAACATTTATATTGTTTTTTAAATGTTTGTTTGAATTTAGTGTTACCAATCAAATAATATTAATTTAATAAAAAATGTCAAATAAATAAAATAAATAAAATATAAAATAGAATATTTATGTATTTTTTATTTTAATTTGAAAACATTAAACGAGAGTAACAATTAAAGTTATTTGATTGTATGTTTTTAACTTTTTCTTCCAAATATATGATTCATTACATAATTAAAATGAAAAAATAAAATAAAAGAAGGAAGGGAATGCTTGCAAGTTCCTTCAATTTCACTTTTTGATTTGGTTTTTTTGATGAAGTTGTACATAAATACTAAATTTGTTTAAATCTTATTTTATTTTAAAAAATTATTAACTAAAAATCAAACTCGATCAATTTTTACATATTTTTTTATTTTTTCTATCGTCACTAATAATAAAATTACGTATATTCAAAATTAATAAAAAAAAAAAGGACATGAGCATTGACCATTTAATATTGGTAGTATGTTGATAAAATTGTATTTGAATCAAACACTTCCTTAAAAAATATTAATTAATGTAACAGCTAATAGAACGGTGCATGTTCATGCCATTACTCGAAGAGACAAAAAAGAAAAAGTTGAATTTGTCAAAAGTTCTTTACAATAATATTTTAAATTAATTTTATAAACGTCAGCAAACATGTAATTCTATAAAAGTATTTAAGCATGATTGTGCACATCCATATTTATAATAAAAAAAATGAAATCCTCGATAAAAACATTTTTTATAATAATTATTTTTAATTAAATTAATTTTGAATTCCAAATCTTCAATATAAAAGTGACATAATTATTGTTTACTCCGCGATTAAAGGTGGAATTAGAAAGTTTGAATAGAATTATTATGTAATTTGATGACAAACATATCCAATACCCTCGAATCAAAATTATGGCCGCAACTTGAAAGTGATATGTCTCATTTGATTTCTTGGCTAATCATAGACTAAACCATGATGTTGATATAAAAACTACATTAAATTACGAGTTTATACGAACCCAACGCATGCCTCACATGCCATTGTTGTGGACTAGTAGGAAAGTAACAGATGCATAATCAAAAAGTGCTTTTTATTTTTAATTATTTATAAAAGAAAAGTGAGATAAAAATATAAAAAAAAATTCATTTTTTACGAAACATTTTTACCTTTGTATTGGAGATTAGGAAAAAAAAAAAAGGTTAAAGACAAAGAACATATGTATAAAAGGAAAATTAATAATTTAATTAAAGATGTTATTAATTGGTCGAATATCAATTAATATTGTTTTATAAAATAAAACAATCAAATTTGTTTATAAATTCTAAATCTTAAATCATAAACTTTAAATGACAGATTAAAAGTTAATCATAATTTTTAACTTGAATGAGAATTTATTAAATAAGTGCAACGCTCAAATGAAAATATTTAATTGAATTAATTTGATATTTTTTTGCCAAAGAAAAAGAATTAATTTGATATTTGAATACCAAAATTTTAATATAAAAAACAAATAAATAAAGTGCAACAAAAATTAATATAAATCATAAAGAGTAATTTCTAAAAAAATACAGAAAAAAATAAATAATTATAAAAAATTTCCCAAAATTTGAGATTTAGCCAAAAAATTTTGCTATTTATATTAGATATTTATTTATTTCATCAAAAGAAGAAGCATATAAAATTTTTTATAGAATAATCTTTGCACGTGCGACATCGGTAGTGTCCAGGAAAGAGGATAAACACGTCCGGAGATGAAGCGAAAGATTGAAAAAAAGAAAGAAAAAAAAAAACCCAAAAAAGGTTGAGCCTCGGCATGTCGGTATCTTCAAGACCGTGGTACCCATTAGTCAAACAGTGATTTTTCTGCAACCCAATTATCTGATGCCAAGTGTCACCCTGTCATCTATTTAGTCAACCCTTTGACCAGGATACTAATCACCTGCCATTGCTTTTTTAAAAACTTGTATCTTTTGATTACCCATATCCAATCACCTTCTACCATGTCATCAACGTGAAAGCTATTCATGAAAATGAAAAATTTGTCATTACCGTTTTTGGAAGCGATTTAAACATGCATGAAAGTTCAGAATGTAGCTCAAATCGTGATTCGTGACCTCATTTTTTTTATCTAATTTAATTTTTTCCATAAAGGAATAATTAAAAAGGAAGAAAAATATATAAGAAAACTAATTTAATTAGACGATATATTAAAATTAGCTCAATTATTATTTTTTTTATAAAAAATATAATAATAATTAAACATTACATCTATCTTTCTATCTATACGTATGTTTTATTTTTTATGTATAATTTAAATCCCTTTTGAGATATATGGATGATATTTATCTAATATTATAAAATAATTATTTTATCTTTTAATAAAAATAAAAATTAATATAAGTATTAATAATAAATTATTACTGTTATGATTTTTTAAAATTTTTATAAATATTTTAAAAAAACTATCCATGAGCAAATGGGGTAATATTCTAATTCATGTGGGAAATAAAGTAAATAAGTAAATTAATAAATTAATAATTTAATATAAAATTGGATTAAATTTACACATAAAAAATTGAATTTGAAACATCAAAATTTTTAGATTTTTTTTACCATTAAAATAAAAATTTTTGACCAAATATTGAAGTTTCAAAATTTGGGATTCAAGAATTAAAAATCCAAAATTAAGTTAAAATTGGCAAATCAAAGAATAAGTTGGACTGCAATTATTTTTTTTTTCTTTTTTTTGGCGGTGTGAAATGATCACCTTTTCTTTCAATAGAAGTGGCAGCGGAGTGAGGAAAGGCAAAGATGGTCTGTTTAACTTATTTTTTGTTATGAAAATGAAATAGGCAAGGATGGCAATAAAGTCAAATATTAATACTGAAGGGTGAACAAGGCATGCTGCCCTCTGCCTATCCAAAACCAAAATCCTCCCTCCTCACTCCTCCCCTTTCATTGCCTGCTGTTTCCCTATATAAACCAAGTCATCGATCTTATCCTTTCACAGCCCTGTCACAACGAAATATAAAAACATACTTATTCCTCACTTTCTTCCAAATCCCCTTCCCCTGTACAGCAAATCTTGATTACAGTAACCAAAAAAAAAAAAAAACAAAAAGAAGAAAAAAACTATTGCTTCATATATTCATATATGGCTGATAATAACCTTGGAATTGTTGTCGAAAGGAACCCTTCAGAGTCAAAACTCTTAGAGCTTAACATCAAGTGTTGGCCCAAGTAAGCTTTTCTATGTTCATGTTTCTCTCTCTCTCTCTCTCTTTGTATAATATTCATGCATATATAGTAGTTTATTATTTTTAGACTGCGAGTCTGTGATTTAAATGGTATTTTTTGGGGTATATATAATAGATGGGGTTGCTCTCCTGGGAAGTACCAGCTGAAGTTTGATGCCGAGGAAACATGTTATTTGCTGAAAGGGAAAGTGAGGGCATACCCAAAAGGTTCATCATCATCAGAGTTTGTAGAGTTTGGTGCAGGAGATCTTGTCATCATCCCAAAGGGTATCAGTTGCACTTGGGATGTTTCTGTTGCTGTTGATAAACACTACAAATTCGAGTCTTCTTCACCTTCTCCACCACCACCACCACCACCACCACCACCACCACCATCATCATCTTCTTCTGCTTCTTCTTCTTCTTGTCAGTAGTATCAATCATTGTTATTCCATATCTTCACTAATTTCTTATTTCCACTAATTCTTTTAAAATTATTATTCATTTATATCAATTACTACTAGTAGAAATTAATTCCTCTCTTCTTTTTCTTTCTTGGGTTGTTTTGAATTTATTTATTTATTTATTTTTAAGCTATGGTTGCTTTTGTTGCCCCTTTTAGTACTATTTTTTGGGCTTTTTTGGGTTATGCAATGGATGATTTGGTCAAAGGAAAGGGCAACAATTAGTCAATGCTTTCCCCATTCAAACTAATCCTTTCTTTTTGAGTCTTTAAATCAGCTTTAAATGTAATGTCTGGTTTGACCAGTCAACCATTGATTTTTTTCTTTATATCATGATGAAATTATAAAGAAAACAAATTACAATACCTTATTTTTTTAGGAAAATGATTTAGACACTCCTCTTTTGACTGGAAAGTGAAAAAATATATATTTTCTACTTGGAACTTCTTGCAAGTTTTAAAAAAGGTGCCCTTAGCAAAAATATGCGCTCCGATAAATTTCGTACCAACCTCTCTAGGGTTGGTAGCCAATAAGAAAAGCCCAAGCAAAAGCATATAAAATCGTCATGTAAATGTAAATAACTATAAGGTTATCAGAAATAGACAGTGATACTGAAAACCTCACTGGCAATGGATTTCGTCTAAAAGTTAAAAGTGTGGGAGGGAAAGCGGTGAATTAAGAAATTATTTAAGAAACTTTTAAGAAGAGAAAGTGATTTTATAAGTTAAAACAATACTGATCATTCTCCTTCCAACTCGACGAAGGGAGAAAAAAAGGCAATGGGACATAGTTGTTGTTACACCTACCTTTTTCTTTTTTTAATAATTAATTTCTTAAATGTTTTTATTAACTTTGACTCGATTATACCTATAACTCAACTTATTAAATTATATAGGGTTAAATAGAACGATAAAGGTATTAAAAATGATAATAACGAGTTTGAAACTTAATTTAATTAATTTTTATATTTATGTTTAAAAATAATATTTGATAAATATAAAATTTAAATGTTAATTTTTTAAAATTACATTTTTAATAAAAAATACAGTAAACTATCTTTTTAATCAAAATTATATTTTCTTAAATTTTATATAATTTAAATTATTGATATAATTTTTAAAAATATAATAAAATATGTAATTTCAATTTTATAAATTTAAAATAATAATTTTATTTTAAGAATATTAAATTATCCTACTCTAAATCAAAAAGATGATTAATTTTTTTTATTATTTTATTTTATTTTTTAAATACAAATAAAATATCATTTTATTTTATCAATTATCTTATACACCAAATTTGTTTTGGTAACCCCAAAAGCCTAAGGGTATTGCATCAATAACAAAAATTTTATTATTATTGCACCAATAATAGCGTTCTTATTTTGATTTTTTTTCCTATTTGTTAATCCAAGTGGTCTAGGATGAGGACCGTATCACAACGAATCCCCTTGTGTTTGTCCTTACAGATAATTTCAGTGAAGTTAAACAGAAATAATAAATAAAATAAAATTCCTTTTATTGCAAAATTTATTATTTTTATTCCACCCTTACCTATTGCTCAAGTTGTATCACATTTTCTTCAATCAAATTTCTTCAATGAATAAAAGTAAATCCATGAAATATATACTTATAAAATCAATAAATAATTAAGTACATGGAACAACACATGCACAATCTATAAATATATTAATTTTTTCCTTTAGACACAAAAAAAAAAGGGAAAACTATTCTCTTCATTTCCCTTAATTATGATTTTAATCTGTTCCTTCCATACATATGACTATGAATTCTAAAACTATTCTTTGTTTCCTTCATTTGATCATAAATTATAATAACTTTTTATATATCAAGAAAACCTACCAAAACCCAAAATTAGAGTACCAAATTTATGAATAAAAGAACAAAATGTCTGCACTGATTGACTATCATAGGTAAGTCCATTAAATACTGAAATATTAGTAGTGAACAGCACCAATCTATGTGACTATGTTAGATCATGTCAAAAAAATTGACAGATGCAAAAAAGAGTTGAAAAACAAAACAAAATGGTATAAATATTTACAAAAAAAAAAAAAAAAAAATCAAAACTGGAGATGTGGCAAACAAAATGGGCTAACAAATTTTTTTGCTAATTTATACTGATGAATAACAAATGGAAGAGAAGGGCTGTTGCTATAGACAAGGCCTGAATTATATTACTGTTCTGTTCAAGTGAGAGTACTCTCTAGTTGGATCTTATTGGTTTGGCTTGGTCCCCATATACGGATTGTATGATCATCACTTGCCGATGCTAACATTAGAGGCCTTTTGGGGTTCCAGCTGACACTGTTCACAGTCATTGAATGGCCCGATAACACTTCAAGTGGTGTAGAGCTTCGTCGATTCCAGATGTATACCTGCCAAGAGCCCAAGATTGCATGATAGATTTAATGCGCTTCTCCAAAAATTCTGTAAGCAATGAATGAACAAGTTTGTCTAGGTTCACGTCTGCATCTGCATGAGACAAACAACAAAATGACACTTTTTCCACACAACCCAAAAAAAAGGCTCCTTACGATTGGCAAAATCAATTTATACAAGGAGGATTCTTCTCCTGCCCTTGACCTCATCAACCGAAGAATGAGATCTGGACCACCTGAGTACAGAAAGCAGGACTGATCTATGCAAAGGGCAAATGGGTGGTGGAGGACCCCACAAGTAGCATACCAATCCTCTCACAAATTACAGATGCTGGACGCATATAAGTTTCAGCATGTTAGCTTAAGATGAAGAGGTGGAAGGAAGATGTTATTGGACCTAATTGGTTACCATCTGGCTGCCCAGAATGCCAAAAATGATTACTAAATCTTAGTGATTAGAAAAAAGGCACAACAACAACAAATATGTGACTGGGCAAACATAAACTACAATGTTTAATATATAGCCATATAAGGATACCTGTGTATTCTCACTGCCACTGGCAATAAACATACTATTGACCCCACCAAAGCAGGACCGTATGACATACTTGTTTTGCTTGTGGCCTGTGTACTTCAAAGGTTTTTCCCATTTTCCAGCAACATCCCGCAAATGAATCTCTTGACTATTTAGGTTGACTATAAAGGTCTTACTGTCTATGGAAACTGAAAGAGATGTGATTGAATGCTCCTCTAAGATTACTTGCTCAGCATTCGTCCTCAAATTTAATATCCGAATTTCTTTGTCAGAGAATGCACTGATTAGGTTTTCCCCATCTGATGTAACAGCAAGATCCAAAACCTTGGGCATCCTCATGCCCCTCCATGCTTTTATCTCATTCCCATCACAGTCCCACATGCAAATGCCCTTTTCAGGGTCAGAACTGCCACAAACAATTCGCTTTGAGTCGGGAAACCAAGCACATGAGCTGACGGTGAAGCCATGACCCCCGAATGTATGTTTGCAAGTACCTGTTTCTACATCCCAAAGCTTGAGAACTTCTGAGTTTCCACATGTGAGCAACATTGTATCATCAGGGCTCCAAGCCACAAAGGATACAGGTTTCTGATGACTTCTGAGCGTGTGTTTCATCATCAGCTTACCATTATCCATAACCTAAGAAATTTAGGGAGAGAAAAACAAATCATGTCAAATGCTTCAAAAAAGTAACTCACAGAACAAGACCACAAATTCAGGTACCCATAGAATATTATATAAAATTTAAATAGGTATTCAAGATCATTATGATGACAATTAAGTATTCAACAAGAAAACAAGGTCCTTTTCGCCCATTTAAAAGAACCAAAAAGCATGCTATACTTATGGCCTGCCTGCTCTGCTTGAACTTAAGTTAGGACTAATATCTGGTGTAGAACATCAAATCCAGGCATCCATGGTTAGCAGTAATAGCCGCTTCAAGTAATAGAATCACATGTCTTAGAAGAGGGAAGTTTGCTTTTGAGGGAAAAATGAAACAAAACAAATTGACTCAATTTTAAAGAACTGAAAACAAAGCCGAGCATGGTATGAGAAAGAGAACATCAACAATATGAAACTGATATGTCCCTTTCATTTAATTCAAATTTGGAACAAAGACATTCAGTAATGAACTCCTTGCAAACATACACAAAAAATGGTAATTTCTTGTTTGTTTCAGTTTTTAGAATAACAACAAACTAGACCTTATTTGCAACCCCCTCCCAACCCAAAAAAAACTGGGACAAGGAGACATTAAAAGAGTTAGATGCACCCCTAGTTGAGCCACTATATGTAGCTCCTATCATGCTATTCTATTGTATCATATCATTGCAAAATGTTACAACAAAAACAAGATTCCAAATCTTCTAGATAAAGCAGTGGAGACCCAAATGCATGCACACAAACATATTAATAAAAAACTGTTTAAGAACTCTCCATATGCATATATGCAAAAAGAAAGAAGTTGTACCTCCCATATGATAGCTGTGCAGTCACTTGACGAAGAGGCTAAGTAATCTCCATTATTAGAAAATTGTACGAACCAAACTTCATTGCTATGTTCAGTCAAAATCTGCAGTCATAGGAAACAAAAGGGGCTACAATACACCTTAAACATTCACAATAACAAGACATAATCAGGCAGTTGAAAGAGGAAACTCAAAAAATTGCGTGTTTCTCATGTATAGATCAGCAAAAATGGAAAAGAACACTTGTTAAATATTCTTATCTTAAAGTGGGAGAAATCATCTAGAATAAAGATCATAAACAACTTTGCACTCCCATTAAAAAAAAAAAATTGGTGTATAGCCTGTATATCAGGTTTTAAAATGAGAATTTTGAAGATAGTTTAGTGAAAGGCACCACACTGAAGTCATTATTGTCAAAAAACTACCGAACAACATATATTTTCTTTAAGCTTTTTATCAAAGGTTGATTTGAATTTCTAATTTCATGGTGTTGCATAGCTCATTGGTTTTCTTGCTCTGCCACCAGCAACCATAATTTGAAACTCTAGAACCATAGAGAGACATTGCTTTGACTCCCTTCATGAGTGCAAAGTTATTCCCGTAGCTCTGGTATGCAACAAGAACAATGATGACAAGAAGTCAACAACACCACAACTAAGCATTTCCACTATGCAAGTCACCTATATGGTTCATATTGCAAAATTATGCTCTGTTTGGTTTCCCTCTGTTGCTCCAGCATACCATAAAATAAATTTTAAATTTCTTATGTGGTTCAAAATGATAAAGGACAATCTTAACAAACTTTTTCCACCACACTAAGCCTTTGGCTTTCATTGAATACAAGTAAATATGGCCTTGATATGCGGATTCAGATTGAAAAGATCATTTTTTAGAAAAATAAACAAGTTATGAATAAGAAATTTAAATTTCATTCACTACCTCATGTTTTATCATAAGATGAATCAAGGTTGTTTTGTAACTATAAGATATTTAATGAAGAATACATCATACTCTAAAGCTAATCTCTAAATCATCTACTCATAGAATAGGTTCAAAGGAAAAAGTAGCATTCAATGGATGCAACAAACTGAAATTACGTCAGTTGAAGTCCCCTCATTTTAATATTTAGGATTTTGACCCCTAGCATTTGTTCCACCAAAACAGAGATTTGTGTCGCACCATTATACAACAACAACAACAACACACTAAGCCTTATATCCCATATTCTGGGGTCGGCTGTAAGAAAAACCAAATAAGAGAATCAAGTTAGGTTATAGTTTAAATCTTCTTATGCCACCCATTTCTATTAACAACCACCTTTTTATCTAATTCCTTAACCATCATTTTGTTCATTTTGTTCTTTATTATTTGCATCCATATCTTTCATGGTTTACCTCTAGATGTTTTGATCTCTCTTAGATCTAGAGACTCAAATATCCTAACTGGTGCATAGCTAGGCCTATGTTTCACATGTCCAAACCATTGCAAATGGCCCTCTCTCATTTTCTCTTCAATTCAGACTACCCCTAATTTTTCTCAAATCTCTTCATTTCTGATTTTGTCTCTTCTCGTCTTACCACACATCCATCTAAGCATCATCATCTCCGCTATGTTCATTTTCTTCTCATGTTGTTTCTTAATAGCCCAACACTCAGCTCCATATAATAATGCAAGCCCTACAGTTGTTTTATATAACTTTGCTTTTAACTTTAAAGGCATGTTGCGATCACAAAATACACCCAGCGCACTTCACCACCTCGCCCATCCTACTTGAATCCTATGTTTGACATCTGCTTCTATCTTAGTATCACTCTGAATAATTGATCCCAAATATCAAGACTGGCTACTCTTTGATACTCCCTCACCATCCAACTTAATCACACTAGTACCCACTTCCTTGTGACTACTAAACTTGCATTCCATATATTCAGTTTTAGATTTACTCAATTTAAAACCTTGAGACTCCAATGTACTCCTCCATAATTCTAATTTCGGATTAAGGGCATCACAAGTTTTAGCAACTAAGACTATATCGTCAGCAAATAACATACACCATGGCACCTTATCTAATACATAAATACACGGCTGATAAAAAATTAAACACGCTAAATGTGATGAGCAAGCCAATGCTTGGCATTCAACAATGCAAGATAAAAAAATAGAAAATACCATATTAAATATCCAAATGGAAATGTTGTGTTCATCACTTTGTATCCTCTCTTTTTTCTTTTCTTTTTTTCATTCCTTGAAACAGTAAATAACACTTATGATTTATTGTAGAAATAACAGTATTAACTGCAACAAGAAGCACACCTGAACTGTTTCTGTAGGTATCTGATCTCTGCCACAACAGTGATCCCCATAAAGCGAGACTACATCCTGTGAATTGTGGTACTGGTACTTACATGAATCAATTTGGGCTGTTACAATAGTTTCAACCAGATGTTCTAACCGTCCCTCAGGCAGTAGAATATGCGGAGGGAGCTGTTTCCCTAGCTCTATCACTAACTTTTTTCGCAGTTCACAAATAATGTCTTCATCTAGCTTACCCAACTCCATCTCTTTCAATGAGAGTATACTATAAGCCAATTTGTGAACCTTTTCCTTGCTCATGTGTAAGGTGGGAACCTGTTTTTGCAAAACCGACAAAGCCAAGGAATCATCCCCACGATTCAAATACTCCAAAAAACACTGCTTGAACACAAGAAATAAAACTGAAGATCGTGTATCATCTTTCAAATCCTTCATTTTGTTCACGGTATCAACACAATTATCCCAATCTCCACTGAGGATTTGAGATTCCAACAAATCAAAATCTAGAGATTTGTACCTCATACCGGACTCTGATTCCAAACAAGAAGCAGAATTTTTGTACCCAAACGAGTATAAGCATTGAATTATAACTCTTACAAATTCATTCTTATTTATTAAACCTTTGGAGCCTAACGAGGTAGGCAAATTCTCCATTGATGAGTTGTTTGGTGAAATCTTAAACCGTTTCTATGAACCCTCTTGCCTTCTACCATCAAAGAAGCCCATTACTTCCAATTGCCATCAGGTTCCTATATCATATGCAATCCAATTAAACGGCAAATCATCCAAAAAAGTCTCAAATCCCTGTAAAAAAAGAACTTGACAAGATCATTGAACAGGCACAAAGAGTTAAAAACCAAACAGAGGAAGCTATATAACAGTAACCCACATGCCAAATCAATGCTTAGTATAGAGGAATAAACCTCATTAATAAATATACTCAAAATTTGCCTAACAAAATTTTTTTAAAAAAAGAGGAAAACTAAAATTAATAAGCAATGAAGCAAATACTTTAGCAAGCTTATAAATGGAACTTTTAGAAAAGGAAGTGCTTCCATAAACAAAAGACAAAGAACCCAACAAATTTTAGAATTTACCAGTGAAGTCAATGATTCACAGGAATAAAAACAACCAATTTAGGAAAGAAGCCTAACAAATTCATTCAGTTAAACAAACAACCTTAAAAACTCCTAATGAATCTCACAATCCAAAACCCAAAAACTCACAACAATACAATATTAAAAAAAATCATTAAAGCACGCATAAAATGGTAATAATAAAAGAATTTAAAAGGAAAAGGCTAAAGTTATAGTTCAAATAGTAAAAAGAAGGGAAGAGAGAAAGTTGTACGCACAGAGAATTGAGAGAAAGGAAAGGAGCGGCTGTGACGAGAGCAATAAACGGCGTAGAGGAAGAGAAAAACAGAAGGCAAGAGTTGAAGAGATTTTTTTCTTCTAGCAGCGGTTTGTCGGACGCGAATGGTGCCGTACTGATCAGAGCTTTTGTTGAAAAAAATAATAATACATTAATTTGTGAGATCAGATTATTACAGAGAAGAGACGAGAAAGGAGCACGGGGTTTTCCGATCGGTTAAAGCGTTGTCGTTTTATGATTGTGATTTAACGACGTCGTTGGCACTTGGCACGGGGTTTTCTTGCGTAACTGAAATTTGGTCAACGTCTCTGTTTTTCGATCTTTCCCTCCCCATATCCACTTCGCAGTTTTCACGCCCCCTTCTTTTTCTTTTTTTTTCGAACAAAAAAAAGAGAGATTAAAAAGTATTGTATTAGTATTACACAAAGAGGAGGGATAAAATATTAATATAATTTTATATGCTATTATTTATAACTTATTATATGTTTATAATATAAGAATTTATTATCTTGAATAGTAAGTATATTATATGGATATTTATCTATCTATTTGTAAAAAATATTTAGCAAATATAATAAGTATTTATTTTTTATTTTTTATTTTTTAATTATGATCACTTTTATATAAAAATATATAATAATTATTTAAAAAATTGGTCCAACCCTTTTTATTTTTTTTAAATGTAATCATTATTAATTATTTTTTAGATCAATTAACATATAATTAAAGTTTGTGTTTAAAATTAAGGATTCAAAAAAAGTTATGTGTATAATTTTTTTAATAAAATAAATAATATGATAAAAATTTTAAAAATAAATTAAGAATTAAAAAAAAATATGACCATTAGGGTAAGACTTTGAAAGTACGAGTTTATTTTTTGCATCATCATAAATTCCATAAAGATGCAAATTAATATAATAGGTAAAATCCTTTATTGCTTGTATGGAATCATTTACTCATTAGGTTACAATAATGGAACTCTCACCAATCCTAAATAAGAATTAAAAAAAAGTCATCAATACACCAAAAGATTAACACGTAGCAGTTAGTTTCCTTTGATCTTTGAGTTGTTAACATATTACCCATTTCAAGAATTGCATTAAAAATATCCAAATTTGCAAGTGATACATATATAGATTTTCACAAGATTCAAATAAATTTTTTAATTAGAAGATATACATTGATAATATGATTAGAAGTATTTTTAGGTTTTGTTTGGACCTAACTTTTTCCTAAATTAATATTAAGGATGTATTTATCCATTTTTATGAATATGACTAGGTAAAATATATATTTAATTAAATATTTTGATGTATTTATAAAAATTATAAGTAATAAATATAATTTATTTTTAAATATCATTTTGATAGAAAATAAATGTATAAGTACAAATTGAACACTTAGCATATAGTATTTATTATTTTTATCATATATATTATCACATCCATCTGATTTTTAAGATAAAAAATCGATTAGTTTGTGTATATAGGAGTTAAGGATTATTTATTATGTTTTAAAAAAATTAAATTTACTGTATTATTTTTAATTAAAATTTAAAAATAATATATTAATTACAATTTATTTTTAAAAATATAGCTTAATAAACATCACTAGTCACTAGATTAAATAAAAAAAAAACAAACTTTGGGAGTTTTCTAAAACAGAAAAACGGTTTTCAAGTAACGGCAACAAACGGCTCCCGCTTTTGTCGTTTTCGTCGGTGCGTTAAAACGACGCTCTCGAAGAAAAGCGCGTACCAGACAACCATCATCGATTTCCCGAAGCGGTATTTGCTTTTGCTGTAGCTACACACACTCCTGCAATAAAGCATCCCCACCTTCCCCCACCCCCACTCTCTCTCTCATGCGGTTCTTTCTTCAACTCTCTCAATTTCTACTCTCATTGCAGGATCGCTCTCTCCTTTTCTCTGCTTTTCACTCTCCCTAGTAGATCTTCTTTTCCCTTTTTCATCTAAAAAAAATAGAAGGAAAAGAAAAAGAAAAAGCTATTTTCGCTGCATTGTTGCCGTAGATCTTTGCCGCATTTCATGGATCTACAATCTCGCCGAGCCACATTGTCTTAATATTCTCTCTCTTAGGGTTTTTGTTCCCTTTCTTTTACTTTTTTTGGCGCTTGGCGGCGGAGGAGTGTGCATTTATTTTTGTTTGGTTATGAGGTGTGTTGTTTGGCTCGGAGAATGCGACGGAGAGTTTGGACGGCGGCGAATAGTCCACCGGAATCTTAGGACCCTCCAGTGGCTCTCCGAAGAGGCTTACGTGGTCCGAGTTGGTATCTGTTTCTGACGATGGTTGTTGTGGACTCTGGTTCGACGAGAGAAGATGCCTGCTCTGAATCTGCTCCCTTTGCTTCTTGTTTACTTTCTCTCTTGTTCTTGTCTAGGTATCACTCTTTCTGGATAATTACTTTTTCTTTAATATATTTATTTTTATCTGTTTGGATACTAAGAAAATAGTAGAAACGGAAGGAAAGTGGAGTAAAATCCTGTTCGAGTTAGCTTTTAATTTTACTTGGAAATGAAGTCAACATCCTTTGTCAAGCTAAGTAGACTTTGGCTTTTGTGCTTGTTAGTATTCCGTTTGTGCTGAATGACTCTCTTATGTCTACTTAATTTCCCACTATAATGTTCTCCCTTTAGCTTACTCTCCGGCCTTCGCCAAAACCAAAAAAAGAAAAGAGAAAAACGTAAAAAAGAAAAGAAGGCTTCGCTTTTTGAGTCATTGGTTAGTCTCCTGTTTTCTGATTCCATATACTACTTTGAACAGAATTGGGGAATTTGGGAAAAGATGTCAAGATAATTGATTTTTATTTTAGCCCCTTGAGGAAATTGCGTTTCCCTGTTAGTTTTATGCTGGTTTACTGAAAAATTTGTGTTTGAGTGAGCTGATAATATGTTTTATATACATATTGCTTTTATTTCGTCATGGGTGATCATTAAAAGGAAGTATGAACCTTGAATATTGAATTAAAGTATGTTTGTAGAACTTCATTTTGGTATATCCTATTTGAGTAAACGATCAAAATTAATTACTCTAGAACTTTTGAAATCTTTTCCATAATAAACTAATTTGTTGTAATATGATGCATTCAAATAAAGGCATTGACATTTATCACTATGATAATTCCAATATCATTAAGGAAATTAACATCACTCATTTTGTTTTATTTTTATTTTCAGGGATGCAAATATTCTTGTCTCCTTTACAATCTGTGCACCAGTTGTCTGCGATGGAAACAACAGTTGACCACGGTAATGATTTATATATTTTAAAGTGTTAATGCTGCTGAATAAGATTCTTCTTTTGATTTTGCCTTCTGTCTAGACTTGAAAGAACTTATTATTTATACACAAATACGTAGCTTGATCTAGTATTCATGATGCTATCATGTTAACTGAAGGTTTCCAAGGAGAAAGAACTTAAGAGTAAATTTTGTTTTTCAGTTGCCTTAGCTATTAACATTCAAACTCCGAAGAGCCCAAGTGACTATGTTTTTAATCCACTGAACTTGTTCTGAGCCATATGTCTTCATAAACATTACTTACATTGTCAGTACAACGAATGACTGAAAACTATTCGAAGAGGCATCTGGTGTCTACTTCTAGTTGATGGATTGGCTGGCATGTCCTGGCTTAGAAACTGTTATCCTTTTTCTCAAGTTTGTGATTTCTGTTATACAGTTGTATAGTTTCCTTTGCCCACTAATTGTTTTAGCTTAAAAATTCTTGTACAAGGATGTTTGCGTATTTTGTTTAGAAGAGAAATTCTTACCTTTCTATTCTTGAAGGTGTTAGTTGTCAGATAAGTTCATCTTATGCATTTTTGCCACCTGTTTCTCTCCTCTCATTGCATCTTTAGAAAGCTTTAACTGGAAATAATTATTTTTTTGCCTAATTCCCATTATTCCTAAGTCAATTTTATTAAAAGGTTTCTCAATCCTCCTGTTACATTTTCTAATGTACAATCCATTATGCTAAATTCATGATGTAACAGAAGACAAAAAGTACAAGGTCAAGTTGTTCACCAATTTGCTATAGATGTTTGTGATCATTTATAAGATGACTTTTAAAGGCATTCGAACTTCCTTTCACTACTGTGCATTATTGCTCTTGCACTTGGCTTACTGATAAGGTTGCTCCACTCCTAGCAGCTAGGCTGATTTCAATGCGCATGTTATTTTCTCGACCAAGATCATCCCAGGAACATGTTAACCCTTCTTTTGGGGCAGCCATCACACCTGCACCTTCTCCTATTCCCCAAGGTACTTATTGCAATCTATTGCCAACACCTTGCCACTATATTAATGCTGACATATGGCTGATGTCTCTGGCATTGCAGCTCCTCTTGCTAGCCCCAGTAACCATGTGGTACCCCGACATCATCATTTTGGTCATCATCATCATCATCATGTCAAACCTCGAGCAGCAGCTGCATCACCTTCAGAGCAAGGTAACTTCCTATGGGCCTTAAGCAATGTCTAGAGGATATGGCCTGCATAGGCTTGGTTTTCTTTTTGGCTACAAAAAACTTAGTTTAAATGTAGTTGAGGTGTCTACAAAACTTACTGTTAATTTTGGGGATTATGGTGGGGTTGAATATGTTCTTGCCCATACTGGAGCATGTTTGAATAATCAATGAGTCTGAACATGTGTCTACGAAATCACATGGTATTACGTCATTGAATTTTTAACTTTGTTTAAAATACTTTATGCACATCTTTCTCTGATAATTCTTTGTGGTTTTGGTTATAAAAACTTTGCTAGGTTGCGATCAAATTTGTGTGGAGCCACTTACTGCAACTCCTTTTGGTTCACCTTGTGGTTGTGTGTTCCCTATGAAAGTCAAACTTCTTCTAACTGTAGCTCCATATGCTGTTTTCCCTGTGATGAATGAGCTAGAGATTGAGGTTGCTGCAGGCATATATTTGCAACAAAGTCAAGTGAAAATAATGGGTGCTACTGCTGATACTCGAAATCAGGGTAGAACATTGGTGGAGATTAACTTGGTTCCACTTGGAGAGAAGTTTGATAATACAACAGCAATACTTACATATGACCGACTTTGGCATAAAAGAGTGTCTCTAAACTCAACTCTTTTTGGAACATATGAGGCGGTATCCATAAGTTATCCAGGTAGTTGTCTCTGCCTTTTTTTAAATAACTGAATGTTGTACTATGTTGTTGTTATGTCTTGGTTGTGATTTGAAAAACATTTTATTAGGAATTCCTGCTTCACCGCCATATGAGAATTTTTTGGGGAGTGGTCCAACTGGAAGTGCTGGAGATCTCCCTATTACAGCTGATTTTGTTAACAAGAACCAAAAGATGAACATCAGGATCATTGCCATTATTATTTTATCTGCTTTTGTGCTCCTATTGGTTTTAGCTGGAGCAATCCCTGTCCTTATAAAATGGAGGAAGGTTGGAAGACCATCCAATGCTGTTGGTCCAGCGTATCCTTCCTCGATAAACAAAAGATCTGGTACGTTTGCAAGTGAGCTTTATATTTGATATTTAGAGTCTGTTGCAATGCTGGTAACCAGTTTTCCACTATTTCTGTGTAGGCACATACACAATCCTCAGCTGATATGTCTCTATGTATTTTCTGTTACTGCAATAATTGAACCATAATTTTTAATCTCTCTTTAACCTGAGGAATAGCTCAGAAGTTTGGATATCTGCAGATGCCATTATTTTGGTTTCTTATATCGGCAAATGTTAACGTAAAAGTTGTGTGCCTAGAACTTTCTTTTTGTCTTCCATCTTTTATATTACTTGCACTGTATAAATGATCTTGATGAGGTGCAGTTTACAAAACCTCAGATTTTTACTGTATGTTATTATATATGTTGGTTGACTTTAATACCAGGGTTTAATCTAGTTAAATTTCATTTTTGTCTGTATGAACTACTTTGATGTGACAGAAATTGGAATATGTGATTATCTGATCTTCATGTTAATGCAGGCATTGGTTCTATCCTGTCAAGCAGTATGGCAAGCTCTACATCAATGTCACTCATGTCTGCTATGGCTACTTGTGCTCTCTCAGTTAAAACATTTGCACTTATTGAGCTTGAGAAAGTGACAAACAAGTTCAGTTCAAAGAGGATTCTCGGTGAAGGAGGATTTGGACGTGTTTACCGTGGTGTTATGGATGATGGAAGTGAGGTAGCTGTTAAGTTACTTACAAGAGATAATGAGAATAGAGACCGTGAATTTATTGCAGAAGTGGAGATGCTAAGCCGATTGCACCACCGCAATCTTGTGAAACTTGTTGGTATTTGTATTGAAGGACGCATACGCTGCTTGGTCTATGACCTTGTTCCAAATGGAAGTGTGGAATCACACTTGCATGGTATTATTTCTTATCAATTTTGTCCATTTCTTTTTTCTGTTTTGTCCATTACCGTTAGACTGATTGCTTGTTCAATTCAATATTTCTCATTATGCTAAGAAAGCTACTGATTAACTATTATCCAGAAAAAAGTAAAGGAAAAGGAAAAGAAAAAGCTGTTGTTAATTCTTATATATTGATAAGATCGCCTAATGTTGCTATGCTAATAAATTATTTATATGATTCTAATTTTCATTAAAATGGATTGACCTTTAATCCAAGTTTCCTTTATATAGTCTTTCTGTTGGTGGTTTAGGTGTTGACAAAATGAAAGGACCTCTTGATTGGGATGGACGCCTGAAGATTGCCCTTGGAGCAGCTAGAGGGTTGGCTTATCTTCATGAAGATTCTAACCCTCGAGTGATTCACCGAGATTTTAAGGCTAGTAATGTTCTATTAGAAGATGACTTCACCCCAAAGGTCTCAGATTTTGGTTTAGCTAGGGAAGCAACTGAAGGAAGCCAGCACATTTCTACCCGGGTCATGGGAACTTTTGGGTAACCAGTCTTTTATGCAAATAACTAGATGATTATCATATGATAGCATTTATATTTCCTTAAGAAGTATTTCATACTGCAAATTTAATGGATAGTGAGACTAGCCCGAGTAGCTGTATATAAATTAAAAGTTATTCATGAAAATTTTATGGACTGATCCTTAAAAACTCTTGATGACATAATGTTAACAGTTTCTTATATCTGAAATGTCATTTTTTTAATCATCAATTTCTGAAATCTCTCAGATTTTAAATTTTCTTTTTTTTTTTTCAACCAAATAAATCTCCTGTCTCAATATATCCCTTAAATTAAATATCCTCCGAAACCCCAATATTGCTATTTTAACTGATAATCTTGTAACGTCCACGTCTTTCTGGCTGATTTGCTCTTCAAAATATTATTAAAGGTGAAGTTTGTGAATTTGCAGGTACGTTGCTCCTGAATATGCTATGACAGGGCACCTACTTGTTAAGAGTGATGTTTACAGTTTTGGAGTTGTGCTTCTTGAGCTTTTGACTGGAAGAAAACCTGTGGATATGTCTCAACCTCAGGGACAGGAAAATCTAGTAACGTGGGCGCGGCCTCTACTTACCAGTAGAGAAGGTGTAGAACAGTTGGTGGATCCTTCCTTGGCTGGAACATATGATTTTGACGACATGGCTAAGGTGGCAGCCATTGCTTCCATGTGTGTTCACCCAGAGGTGACTCACAGACCTTTTATGGGTGAAGTTGTGCAGGCTCTGAAGTTGATATACAATGACACAGATGAAACAGGTGGGGATTGCTGTAGTCAAAAGGAGTCTTCTGCCCCAGAATCCGACTTTAAAGGGGATTTTGCCCCTTCCGATAGCAGTTGGTGGAATGCTGGTGGGGTCACCCCACGCTTAACTTATGGGCAGGCCTCTTCTTTTATCACAATGGAGTATAGTTCTGGCCCACTTGAAGAGATGGAAAACAGACCGTTTTCAACTTCAAGTTTGGTTGGAGATAGAACATCATTACCAATTAGACATGGTAACAGATCAGGCCCCTTGAGAACAGTCCGAAGCAAGCCGAGCTTTTATAGATTAAGAGGGAGCATGAGTGAGCATGGGGGACTCCTTCCAAGGCGAATTTGGAGTGATGCCTATCGGGTTTGAGGTTTCTTTTCCCAACTATTTTTATTTTTTGAATTGTACAGTTCACAAAGGGCCCGGGCTTTTCAGTAAGCGGTCAATTGTAGCCTAGCATTTGGGGATTCTGGAGTTTCCATGTTCGTTGAGAGGCAGAGAGCCGACCTTGGCTTCTTATTTTTAAAGTCTTGATTCATTACCATACAAAAATGGAGATGTAAGTTGAATACTTACTGTATTAGAACATAATTTGCTGAATCCAAGGGCGACAGGTATATTTTTGGCTACAAACTTTCGGGCTCAAACCAGATTGCCCTGTAAACAAATTTACAGATGAGCAAGGCTCTTTTGTAACCCTAAGAGTTTAGGATTAGGATGTCACGGTTCTTTTAATTTCTTTCTGGGTATAGTTTGTGTGAAGAAATTGCAAGAAATGACAGACAGTTCTTAGGTAACCTGTTTGATTTTAATGAACAGGAAGCAAAGTGGGTAAGAAATTATCCTAAGCAGCAATGGCTCCAAATCCTATTCCACATTGAGGCACACGGTGAAAAAAAAAAAAAAAAAAACTATGAATGCCGTTTTGGTTTGGCTGCGGCGAACTTCTCATATCCTAGACGATGCCAAATCAAGAGGCTCGACCCTCGAGCAATTATTTCTTCATTATTTTCTTTTTGTCCTTTTATTGACATAAATAATCCAAATCCGAGCGCACACCCCCCCCCCCCCCCAAGGGTAAAATTTCGAACCCATATTCTAGCCCGGACCGGGATTGAGTCCAACCCACCTTAACCACCAGCAGGACAGGACTCACCGGACAGTAAATCTCTATCGACTATTCAACTGTTTTTGCTTACATCTATTCCCACGAACGCAACTCCACCCGAAGTCTCCAACTGCACAGTGCACCACTGTACGCCATTAAAAAAACAAAAAAGCCTTTTTAGAGATATAAGAAACGATGCTCTCATCACTCTCACTCTTTTCCAATGCCATATCTCTCAACCTTGTCTCTTCCTTGTCTTCCGGTCGCTCCACTCAGCCTTTCTTTACCAGGTTTCCTCCTCTCTCTTTTTCATTTTCTTTCAATATAGATTCTTTCCTCAATCACTTGGATGCTTTATTTATTAAGAATCTCGTTTGAGAAAAAAAATTCAGGGCCCAAATGTCATCCGAATCGCTTCCACCTCTCCCCCAGCACCGCATTGTTGTACGTTTTTATTTTTTAATTTTTTTAATATTTTGCATCTACTTCTATCTGTCGCTTTTGTTTAGCATTAGCATATAATTGATAAAGTTTTAACTTTGTTAACACAACCTCAACAGCTAGGCTGTGGAGCGGTGTCAGTTGATTTCTTGGCCACTGTGGCTTCTTATCCTAACCCCGATGACAAAATCAGAAGCACTAGCTTAAAGGTTCTTTTTCTAAAATCTAGGTTTCCTCCTGTCATTTACTTAATCTACTGATAATTGACTTTTGTCTCTTTCTTTCTTTCTTTCTTTTTTTATTTTCATTTTGTATTTCCGTTTTGATGGATTTTTTACTATCATTATTTGATTATTTTGGCATTTGTTTTCTTAGGTTCAAGGAGGCGGGAATGCTGGAAATGCCTTAACTTGTGCTGCTCGTTTGGGATTAAATCCACGATTAATTTCTAAGGTCTTACATATCTTTATACTTTCTTTCTTTGTTTATTTACTTCTACTCCTCTGTAAAACTGGACTATTGACTGAGATAACATTTTTGTTGCGTTATATAATCGTTAGGTTGCAAATGATGCTCAAGGAAAAAGTATATTGGAGGAGCTTGAAGCTGATGGAGTCAACACTTCCTTCTTTATTGTAAGCCTTTTTCAGATAATTTATGGTTCATAGTTTGGGAAAGATCTTAGCCTACTATTATCGTTGTTTTTATCTTGATTGGTATATAATGGTTATTTCCCTTGAAGATTTATTTCATTGGTGTTGTTTAATATGTTTGACTATTTGATTCTAGAAATTATGCTCCACTCAGATTTGTTTTAATACATATAGATCATTTGAATATGTAGATCTTTACTTTACTGAACCCCTAAGTTAGAAGGCAAGAAAATAACCTAGGAACTCAGACTACCAACATTTAGCGGAGACCAATCTGCGAAAGAATGTGTTTATCATTTTTCGTTTGGGAAGTACATGTACATCGCATCATCTATGGAACAATTTCTTGGTGAACCAAGAAAATGTGTTATTTTCTCGGTTCACAAGCACATTTTTTTCAGCCCCTTTAATATTAAAATGAGACATCTTTTAGCAGATGATGCCATACAGGAGCCTTGCCACCTTTTATTAAATCATACATCTTTTAATGCCATTAAATGTTGCATCACGACCTGAACTTTCTTTCTCACTGACTTAATTTTGTTGCTTTCAGGTTTCTGAGGAGGGTAATTCACCATTTACTTATGTAATCGTTGACAACCAAACGTGAGCACTTAATTTAGATGGCTATGACATTCTGTACATTCTGATGTCCTCCCCTTGTTGGTTTATTCTCAGCATTGGATGATATGTTATCCTTTCAATAAGCAGTCTCTTTCCTTGAAAACCGCTCTTTGCTTTTTATCTCTGTACATGGACATTTGGTATCCACCCATATTAGGTTTAAAGCACTGAAAATTGTGTTCAGCAGAGTGGCTTGGATGGCTAAATTCACTTTTGACCGGATCCTGCAGCCCTTTCTTTACAATAATGTTTAAATTAAAATTCTATTTCAATTTATTTACATTTCCTTTGGGTGCGGAGGGAAGCTATGATCTTACACTCATAACAAGAAAACACCAAAAGAGGTGTTGCTGATGTTCAAAAAATGAAAATAGAAATCATTGCTGACTGGTGTAATTCAGCCAAAATACAAATTATGCTAAAATTTTCTCCATGGGTTGAAGTGAATACTTATCTATCCAGAAATAATTTCAGGAAAACTCGAACCTGTATTCACACCCCGGGTTATCCACCCTTGATACCAGGCGAGCTTTCTAAGTCAAGTTTATTATCTGCATTGGATGGAGCAAATATGGTCTACTTTGATGGAAGACAGCATGAGACTGCTTTAGTTGTTGCAAAAGAGGTAAATTTTTTTTTCTTGTTCTGCTTATTGACTATAGTATCAAGGTAGATGAAACTAATAGCTATTGTTTGGTTGGCTGTATGATTTGATTTAATAATGTATCTTCAATAAATATCCTAAACTTTTAACTTATCATTTGTAGAAATTATCTTGGTTCCTTTGCTGAAAGACTACTCAAAGTGAAGAGTTTGTTTTTGTTAACTGTTAGGCTGCTCACAGTCACAGGCTTGTGAGCAATTGGTATTCTGATTGAAAGCCTCTAATTGGACCAAGTCCATTGGATTTTCCTTATTTTATGTTCTGTGATTAGCTTAAGCTTCAACCTATGGCATATTTGATGTTGGTGGTTTGCCATATTAAGTGCTAAAATATTAAGTCCTTCCTCTAAATTCCCCATCAAGATTAATATCAACCAATAGCAAGTCAATAGCATTTTGGGGATATTTCCTGTACAGGCAACTCGCAAGAATATACCAATATTAGTCGAAGCAGAAAGGAAAAGGGAAGGTTTAGATGATCTTCTGGATTTTGCTACTTATGCTATATGCTCAGCAAAGTTTCCACAGGTAATTTGATCTTGTTTGAGGATTACTATATGTTTCTTTTACATAGAACATTCTATCTCTTGACCATCTTCTCTCTCACCACCTTTTTTTGTCTTCAAGCACTTTCTGAGAAGGAAATTATGTGACGCATTGAAACTGCCCTTGTAACTTTTAGCCATTTACCATGCTGTTTCTGCTTAAAATGTCCATGTCTGTTTTTTTTTTTTTGTGTGTGTGTTCACTTTGTTCAAAGTTGTCTTGGGTTTAATGTCTATTCAAATAGTCGGCTGTATAATTTCCATTAATGTTGAAGTGAAACAAAGCTTAGTTTTGCAAGGGTTTGTCAAATAAATGTCATACATCTCTTATTCAACCCCCACAGGATCTTTCTTCCATGTCTTTGCAAATATATTTTGTCATTGCACTTAAATTTGTTTTAGTTTAGAATTTAGATGGTGTTTTTGATATTTGGTTTTGGCCTGGTTCTTTAATGTTTAGTTGCAAAGATGATACACCTTTGCATTGCTGCTGAAATTTGTTAACTCATTTCATAATTGTGGCACATGTTATGAACTTCCAATAAGACAGGCATGGACAGAGGCTCCATCTGTTCCCAGTGCGCTTATTTCCATGCTTCTGAGACTGCCAAACTTAAAATTTGTGATTGTAACATTGGGTGAAGATGGATGCATAATGCTACAAAGAAGTGTAAATGGTGAGTATCGTTGCATGAATAGTGTTGTTGCAGAATATCATATGAAATGGAACCAGAAATCATGGTTGGTACCAAAAAAAAAAGAGATACTATGCTTGATTCATTTGAATCGACATTTTATACAGGTTTTCTACACTATGTTTGCAGATGATTTTGATGCTGAAGAAATGGATGTTCACAGTTTATTGGAATCATTAAAGCAGAGAAAAGATGACAGCAAGACCATCCCAACATGTATCTCATCGGTAATATATAAAGCAGAGGACTTTAAAAATCGACTTATGTTTAGTCTGTATAGGTCAACTGTAATATGCTGTAGTTGGGGATAGAATTGTAGCGCAACATCAACTTCACTGTCTAAACTCCTTTTTAGATTTGAGTTCATAATTTAGGAAGTGAAGGAGAAGCCTATACTTATGGTTAAGCTGCGCCCAATAGCATGTTTCTATTTAGCATGGATTGGCTTCTATGGCATTTAATACTCTGTCAGTCGCCATTTAGTGCAAAGGAATTATCAGCCCTTCTTTACTTCGCCAAAAAGTTGCCTTTTCCAAGTAAGCTTGCCTGCTGTTTCAAGTGTTAAGAGACTAGAGCGTTGGGGTTGCTATGAATGCTTACAATCTGGAGATTCAAAAAGAGAAAATACAAATAATCAATGTTTGAAATTTATAGAACAAATTTAGCTTTTTTTGTGGTGATAGGGAGGCCTTGTAACCTGAGCTACAGATGAGAGAGAGAGAGAGAGAGAGAGAGAGAGAGAGAGCATATCTAATCAATTTTGGACAGTCGTTTCAGATAAAAATAACCATGTCTTAAAGCATTCTTTTATGTTTCTCACTAGGCTAATTGATGTAGGGGATGTTGAGGGCAGGGCCACTGGTACAAAAGACAAAACATTAGAGGTCATTCTATAGGAGCACTTCTTTTTCCCATTAAATGTGCATATCTGGTACAGGCTTTCATGTTATTTGATTGTTGTTAAGGATAGTGCACATTTCTGATTTTGTTAGGATTTTAATTTTTCTGTGGAAACTCCTTCTCTGACCTGACCTAATTATGCTTGACTCTTGAGTTGAAAGTCATCTCATTGGGCAGCTAATTTACGATAGTTCCCAGCTACTTCTGCCTTTTAAAATTCTATTCTCTATAATCTACAAAATTTGCAAAATTTTCTTTCATCTTCCAGATTTTTTTTTTTTTTGTAACATGGCTTCAACATATTAAGAGTGCTGTGAGGTTATTCATCTTTGAGATGAAATTCCCTAAGGAAAGATTTTAAAGGATTGCTAGGCATTTTTTTTTTTTAATTTGACAAATTTGCTTTCCCATTCTTTGCAGGTGGTTACCAAATTGAGTGTGAATGGGATAGGGACAGTGACTGGCCGGTTATTTGTGGGAACAGCAGAGAAAATTCCACCATCAGAACTTGTTGACACAACTGGTGCAGGAGATGCATTTATTGGAGCAGTACTTTATGGTACATTTAACTATTCAACCTAATTGTCTGTTGTCTTCTAAAGATTCGTTGTTCATTGGGAAACATATCTATGTTTAATGCTCCTGAAGGTTCTTACAAATAGGTAGGAAAGATTTTCATATAAATCTCGAGGTGCTCATATTTGTCTTGATATCAACAATCCATTGTTCCAAAAGTGCCTAAGTAGCAATAAACGTGGAAGAGGTCAGAGGTGTCAAATTGTTTCATTTTCTTATAGTGTGGAAAACAAGAGTGAAGTGTGACTAGACAATTATGTCAACAGTGGCATCACAACCACCGAGCATTTTTTTCTTCTGGACTGCACTCAATTAGTGTTGAAGGTGATCGTATTTATGCATAAGACAAGCCCATGTTTAACGGTTTCACCAGTTAGTGAGGTTTCTTCTCTTAATGGATGCAAAATTGAGATACAATGTTAAAGCCTTATTGGAAACTTTGTGATTCTTTCACAGCTGAACCCGTTTTATTGGGATCTTTACCACTCGGTTTCATTAACATTACTTTTTCTTTGACTAAATGTGATCTGTTAATTATGCAATTCATAACCTAGATGGTTTGTTCTTTATAGAATTTGAGAGCCCGAAAATATGATGGCATTATTTTTCGTACAATTTCAGTACTGTTTCTGTTTTCTACTTGCTGATTGATTTGGCCATTGTGAGGTTGATGACTTCATTTTCCTTTTTTTTTTTTTTTTTAGCTCTCTGTGCAGGCATGTCACCGGAGAAGATGTTGCCATTTGCTGCTCAAGTGGTACACTGAATTACTCTTTGTTAATGATAAGTAAATTTGCTGCAAGTTAACGATTTTAGCTTTTAAGGGGGGTGGCCATGTGATTGCTATGAGAAGTTTTTCTGACCTAATTTGATGCTTTATTGCAGGCTGCATCTGGCTGTAGGGCTTTAGGAGCCCGAACTGGTCTTCCTCTCCGTACAGATTCACGCTTGGCGACCTTTTTATAACAAGTTCCTACAAGCCACCTTTGTTATAGCCCGAGTAAATGGAAACTGTTCCCCACAGCCAGAGTATTTTACATTGCCGGAAGCGATTTCTGTGAGCTTTACTTTCATCACACAGTACGTCCTTCTAGATCAAAGGGTAATGAAAAACCACAACCTTATTTGACAACGTTATACTTTTGGTCCTAAATTCTTAATTCACTTTGTACATCCATGCATCTATACATCCTCTAGTGATGTGAATCTCAAAAACTTTGTATTCTGCTGCTTTTGAGCTCCAAAAATTATACTAGTAATTGGTCACTTTTTTAATTGCAATATGAAGTTCGAATCCATAAAACTTTCATGTCGTACAAATCAGAGCAAAGAGACAGGTCCCAAGCTATATACCATGTGAAACTTAATGAGATTTATTACCAAATGAAAATAGAAAGAAAACAAACAATAAATGTTGGCTTTAATTAATATTTGCAGGGAAGAGAATGGCATAGGATGGAATGTCGCTGTCAGATGCGCTTAGGTTATAAAAGGAACCTGTGGAATCCAAATTTATTGATTCCAAAACTTCACAAGAAAATTAATGGAATCTGGTTTCCTTTTTTGCAGTTGCATTTATGAATGTTTAGTACTTCCATATAATATAAAACAATGAAAGGTGGATAAAAGCATCAGCTTAAACATCAGGGATGAAACTTGAGGCACAATAACTTTGAAACAAAACACATACTTAAAAAAAAGTAGAAGACATCCCAAAACCCAAGACCTTAAACTATGTTTAAAATACTCATCCCCACTAAGCCTATGGCTTTAACAACCATATCCACATGCACTTCTTCCCAACAATCTACAGCAAACTATCAGCTTTTGTAGGCAGCCTCCTGAAGAAACTCAACGCCCGAGAAGGCAAATTGCTTCGGAACCTTGGGGGCCTCAAGGAATACAATCCCCACACAGCAATTACCACCCTGAATGGCACAGCATAAAATCCAACAGCAGCAAACAAGCAAAATATCACGAACAAGAATGTGGCCCTTGGATCTCTCCAACTCAGCAATGCTTGAAATCTTTCACCTTGTGTTGCCATATCTCCAACCACAGTTTGAATCCTTCCCGCCACACTCCTTAGCCGATCATACCTCATCCTAACAACATCTGCACTTCGACTTGTTGGGAAGGAATCAAATTCCTCGTCCAATTCATCTGGATAAATACTCTCAGCATGGGATAGTCGGGTGTCCATGTGGGGTGGATGACGTGGTCGAAACCTGTATCGCCACAGTCCTATAGTCGCCATGTAGAGCAGCATCGCAGGGATTATGAGCTCAGGTAATGCAACTAATAAGAGAAAGGTTGCAACAAACAAGGATGAGTAAATTGGCTTGGTCCAATTTCGCATAGATTCCACCCAACGGCTCATGGCAACAACACCAGATATCACATTCATTAGTCTGAAAAAGTTAGCTTTGCTTCTTCTCATGCTCCACATATGGGAGTCGTGATCAAGCATATACTCAACAACCTCTCGCCCCAATGGTGGCTCTGTTCTGCTAAGCCGAGATGCTACCACATTCATAGCTTGGTACCTCAGGCTCTCCAACTGGTTCACACTCAAAGGTTGTACATAATGCATCTTTGGTAGCAAAGGTAACGTGTACATATGCAACATGTTTCCCACATTTGCACATGAAAATCGCACAGCTAAGTGAAGCTCACCCATTTTCTTGACACCAGAAGGTTGCAGCATAAGGAGTGGGTATGAATGAGTATACACTCGATCAGATTCAAGTGTTGATAGCCTGATTCTAACCTTCCCAATCCGAGAGTCACGAGCAGCAGCAGCAGCATTAGTAATGATGTTTTTATCAGTGCGGCAGTTGTCAAACACGCCAATAGTGATAACTGTGCAAGGATCAAAAACTTCCCAAGTATATTGCTCATTCCATTTCGGGGACAAGCTATCAACCACAGTTCGCGTTCTCACCCATTTCTGTCCATACTTGGCCACACAATAAGCATCAGTGGTGCCTCCTTTGCCTTCCTTGATTTTCACTGACATGAGCCCTGTTGCACCCAAGATTCCCATTTCAAGCACACCAATGTGAGGCTTCCACAGCTGTTTTGCTGTTGGCCTGACATCACTGCTATACATTGTGGCCTCATCGAGAACATGGTATCCCCCATCAAGTGAAATACGAAGATGTATTCTAGAACCAAATCTTGTCACAAGCTTAGTGTCAGCAGAGTTGCCAAAATGGTTATCAAGATTAAACCACCTAGAGACCACTTGTTTGTCATCAGTTCTTCTTTCAATTGCAGTCACAGGAAGCAATACTCTGCCCACAACCTCGTCTCTTCCAGGGCCAACCCGATCCTCAATAGAAACTAACAAATAATCCTCAAATGGCTCTGCCACAACAAACAGAAAATCTTCTTTCCAAAAAGGATTTGATAAGCTTCTATTGGGACTGGCCGCTGAAATTCTGGTCCTTGAGACTTGATTCCCAACCTGGACTTTTGCTGAAAGCTCAGGGTACCTTACCAATGTTGATCCCTTTTCACCCAAAACAACATCTTGTGCTTCAATAACTGATACTCTCAAATACCAAAGTTTTGGTGATAAATAAACCTTCGATTTAATAGAACAAAGCCCATCAAAATGCACATTTGCTGCCTTCGAATGCCAAGCCTCAGCAAAAGCCTCATCTGCCTGAGTCCCAAACCATATGGAAAGCATTAGTTCCCCTTTGGACTTGTCTCCTTTCTTATCTTCCATTCTGTACCATTGTGGTGCTAATTGACTATCCGGAGGAACTCTCCTGGGAACTTCATTTAAATCAAACCAAACTCGGCCTAAGAAATCTTCTCTGTTACCCTCCTTAACAAAAATCTCCACCATTGATGACTGTATACAATCTTTAGAAAAAGCAAAAACTTGGTCCCAATCTACATGGTTTGAACTAACCCTCTTGGTAACACCTCTGTAGTTCCCTAGCTTGACTTCAGCCACAATCTCACCAACACCAAACAACGAAATATCTCTAGCTTTCACTACTCTAACGTAAAGATACTGCATTTGCTCAACAAGATCATATGTTGAACTAGTTTTGTCCTTGTTCAAAGGACCACCACCAAGATGGGGACTTGTCTCCTTAAGTAAAAACTCATTAGAACCATTTGAGAAAAGACTCACCCCACCGCCACGCCCAATACCAGCAACACCACCGGCGGCAACAGGGACTGAGGGACCAGGACCAGTCGTTATTATAACAGGCTTTAACTCACCAGGGTTTGGCTCCACAGGTTTTGCGTGGTTTTGACTCTGCAGTGTTGGCTTGTTCTCTTGAACCAGCTGTTGTTGCACCACCAAGGCAGGGTTTTGCTGTTGCATTTTCTTCTTCTTTGAAAACCTCGAGGAGGAAACCGAACCAGAACCAGAATCAGAAACCATCATCCCTTTATCAACCCTCATTTCTTTGACTTCCTCTCTGGAGGACACGTAAAGCTTTAAGGTTATTTCTCCCCTTATATGAGAAAACAAGCTTCTTTTATCAAGAGTGTACATTTGGGGAGCTTCTTCACCTTCTTTAGCAATACTTGAACCAGACACCCTCACTTTCCCAAGAAAGTTCCTGCTGTTAGTCGACCTTTTTTCATTAAAAACATTAACTTCAATAGTCCTGTAAGGAAGATCAGCAACATCTTTTATATGAAACACCAGCTTCTCGTTCCAAATGGGGTTCAAGTCTTTCCTTTTAACTTGAGTCCTATGCCTTTGGTTCTCAAACTCCACTTCCACAAACGGTGAAGATGACCCTTCCCCATCTTTGGGCATCAAGTTATGAGCTGCTACCACCTCCACCACCAGCTTCTCTTTGCCGGTAGTTACTCCTAGACCATTCATGGCTAGCTTAGCTGTTTCCTTGAACAGGAACCAGAAAGAAAAAGGAAGAGAAAGGAAAGAGGAAAACCCAAAAATGCGAAGATAATGAAGGGACAAAGGAAATGACAATGGAGGCAAACAGGGGGGGTTAAAGAGGACGCTCAAAAGCGAGAGAAAGAAGCGGAGCAGATAGTAGCAGTACACGAGAGCAGAAGAGCGTGCAACAGAAAGCAGAATTATATTCTTTGCAGAGACAAGAGAGAGAATCGGTGAGAGAAGTAAAGTAAATACAACTGAGTTGCTAGTGTCTTTACTGAGACTGTTGTTCATTCCAAAGTCACGCTGAGTCACAGCGCGTGAGAATCCGACTGAACCAATCATATGGCAAGAATGGCTCTGCCAGAGTTGATATGGTGGATCCACCCAAACATTTTATAACATTCAAATGTAATTAACGCTAACATTGTGCTTTAAATTAATCCCTTTCCTTTCCTACTTAGGATGAGTCAAATCTTAATGTACTGGCCAATGCTCAAATGTGCTGTGCCCAAGTTTGCAGTGGGTCCACCGACTGTAGCAAATACCTTCCTTCAAATGGAAAGCCTATTATAAAAACAAAAGATACGTTAACACCAAGAGTAGTCTTAGGATTTAGATTTTTTTTTTTTTGGTAAGTTAAGATTTAGAATTTTTTTAATTATAAAACAGTGTTAAACAACAAAATTTATTGAATATTTTTAAATTATTTTAAAATTTAAAATATTATAATAAAATTATACCAATTAAAAAATAATAATAAATTTAAACCATTCAGGTAAATATAATGATAAATTTATTTTTCACTATATTTATATACGTAATCATTTGTTATTGTTAAAGGTGATTTAAATAATTAAAATAATTAAATATTTTTTAAAATTAAATGATTAAAATCGGATTTGTCACTGTAATGGAATGACAAGAGGCATGAGCCAAGGGGCACTGTACCAATGTCATTAAAAAGCTCGTTGGAACTGGCGCGTGCGGAGAAAAAGGATTCGTAAACTTTGTTGGACGTGGTGGTAAGAAGTCAGCCTTGAAGTAATAGGTCAAGAGAGCGTGCCAGAATCCAGCAGAGAATCCTTTGGTTTTCCTCTTAATTTTTTTCTTTATTGGGACAATATATACCTCCATTTATTCTCGAAGTCCGAGGCTGTATTCGGGAGCACAAAATATTGTCTTTTTTTTATCTCGAAACCCAAAATAAAATAATAATATTAATCAAAATTTCCATTTTTTGAGAATGTTTTTTTTTGTCTTCGCAGTTTCGAGGCGCGTGTGGTTCTGTAGGGCAGTACAACTACAAGCCAGATTTAGGGATAGCCTTGTCAGCACTAAGGATCTAAAAAGGGCCCCATCTCATTTCTTTATTAGAAATTGAAAAGATCCAAGCTGTCACTGGCCATTGAGTCCCACCGAATGGCTTGATGCCACGTAACCTTTCACCTCAGTTCAACCCACCAATCCAATTACAAACATTTAGTAAAGTTGACTAAAGCTTTAATAAATTAATACTGAATATGGTACTATAAAAAGCATTCAGTTGCAAGTGCAAGTAGTTAAAATTGACTTCAAATTTAAATATTTGTAATTAATTTTAAAGTATTATAAATAATAACAAATTGATTTAATCAGACGTTTGATTGGTTTTTAACGGTTCAACTTAGATTTTAAAATATAGGGTGTGTCAGACAAACCAGGCGAACAGGCCACGAATTCTCCGTTGAACTAGTCCAATCCGATTTCAACAATTTGTAACTTCCATTTGTAAATTTTAACAAGCTTTAACAGATATTGTTTTAATATTGATATTGATTTAGAGTTTTGTTTTCACATATGAGATTTAAGATGAAAATTAGCTTAGATTCAATTTATTTCTTTATAATTGATTTTCATAAAATAAAATTTATATTTATTAATGTTTGTTTGATTAAAAATTATCTAATCGATAAAAATAAATTATTAATCAACAAAACATAAGATCAAAAACTTGAAAATTATCTTTCACTTTTCAAGATAATTTTTTAAAAATATATGTTCATGAGTTAAGTTATTTGTCAAGACTTATGATCTTAGTTTAACTCGTTTCGAATTTTTTAATATTTTAATAATATAATTTTTATTTATTACTTTAATAATAAATATAAATGAATAATACACTTCAATAAGTTGATAAAACTATTTTCAATATAAAACATTACAATTTTAATAATAAATTTGCTGCTTTTAACATTGCATATTAATGAAAAAATATTTCAATAAAAAAATATTAATTGAAGTTACGATTGCATAGTTTTATTCACCAAGGAACTCCACATGTATAGTTGCAATGCAATTTGCCTCGAAGCATCGGGTCGTTGAGTCAAATCAAACCCAGTATTCGGTACGTACGTTGCAGTGAGAGAAGGTAGCATGAGACTTAAAAGAGGCTTTTGCTTTGCAGGTGTACACGGTGTGAAGTCCCTAAAATAGGCTACAATTCGTGTTGTGTTGGTATAAAGTAAAATACATAATTGTCTTAAAAAAGAGAGATATAAAAGGCTATCTGTCTGCTCATCCAACTCAAAGTGTGTCTCGGCTCTTGGATTTTTATCAAATGTACTTGTACTCTTCGTGAGTACCATTGCAATGAGATCCTGCTGTTATGAGCCGTTAGATTTGAAAAGAAATTATTATGATTATAAATTTAAGTTAGATAATTCATATACTTTTTTTTTATAAAATATTAAAATTTATATATTTATATTATATTTTATAAAAATTTTATATATTATAATTCCTATAATTTTAATTTATAAAACATATATATTTTTATTAAATTTATATATAATTATTATTATAATTTTAAACTATATCAATTTTATTTTATTTTATATCATATTAATATATATTATGTTATATTTTAAATTACCAGATTGAATTATAAAGCTAAACACAATCGGAAACAACAAAAAATAAAAGAAGAATTTCAAAATGAGGCATGGTTCCAAATTATTGGGATCTTACCAATCATGGTGATAACTAATTAAAAGATAGTCAATGAAATAAATTTTGTAAAAATTTTCATTCCTCCCCTTGTTGGGCTTTAGTCTAGTCCATAACTAGTTTCGGCCTTAACATAGTGAAATAGGTCCCCAACAAAATGTGAGTTTTCCTAGTGATGGCTTGGTAGAGGGGAAGAAAGGCCCAAAAAGACTAAATTTGTTTAGGTTTGGGCCAGGTTAAGTACCTGCCAGCAAAGAACAGGATTCAGCACTAAAATCATACGGCATGGCTTAAAAAGAATCCAGTCTTTGTGGGCACAGGGAAGAAACTAATACACACAATGTGAACGTGCTCAAAGTTGCAGTTCACTCCGTCAGTTCAGGCGGTGACACTGAAGCCATCTTAATACGCAATGCCATTCACTTGTATGACAAATTCTACGGCTAGGATTGCACTGAATATCAATTGTATGAATCCCAGCCGTCCCCATTAAACTAATCAAAAACCAATGCTCGTTTCTTCGACAAAGCCGGTGACTTAAAACGCGTTTTAAGGATATAGTGATCGGAGTCTTATCCCACGCGCCTTACCTGTTGGATTCCTTCTAATTCATTGTCATTCAGCAATCAATGGCATGATCCTCGGGGGCGTGGCCATACCCCGAGTTGCTTTGAGGCTTTTGACAATTGATGATATGAATATGGCCATAATGAGTTCGAGAAGACAAGCCAATTAGAAATGGCCATGTAAGCGTTGCTAGCCCTACGTGGCCAACTATTATTGGTCTGTCCAATACTCATTTCCATTTCCATCTGTTTTTTAATAAATTTTACATTTTTCTTTAAATTTTTTCCCTCAATCCCCTTTCCCATGAGTTTGTCCCTGGTTCCTCGGACTTCAAATTAATTAATTTAATTACTTAATTAATGTCAAGAATAAAGGAAAAGGTCATAAATGCCCAGGAAATGGCAACAAAATGACAAAATGTCGCCAACTATTTTCACAGGCGGAACCGCTTCCACAAAGCCTTGTGAAATTTTATTCTTTCTAGTTTTTCTGGGAAATTTTTTTTCATTATTTTATAGAAAAATGTAAGTTTTCATTCTTTTATTTAAACGTTAAATAATATATTTGTAATTAAATCTAAAATTACTGTTTATTCAAATTATTTTTAATTAGCATATTTTCACTAAAAAAAAGGTAAAAAGTAAGAAAGATTTTTTTTTTCTACTCCCAAAAAGTAATTATACAAAGAGCAATTATTCCGTGGTCCATGACTCACGAAATCAGCCAATCTACGTGCACGATCTATGCACCTATCATTATACTTTACATCATGTGGAATACACGATCAATGATTTAGTATCATAAACAAAAATAAAGATAATAGATATATTGAAAAAAAATATTTATTATATATTATTATACTACATGTTCTATCACATTCTTTCCAATTTTTAATATTTAAATATGAGAATTTAAGATGAAATTTTAAAATTTAATAGTTTGAAAATGTCTTAAAAAAAAATCACAATTCTTTCATAGTGCATATATAATCTCCACATGAATCATCAAAGCAAAATTACTTGGTCCAAAAATTTTGAAATGGGGTAATGGTATTATTGCACCATAGTTTACAAAACTAATCGTCCAAAAATATTTGGTCTGATTGGTAATTAGCAACGTAAATCTCAATCAATTCGGTGCAATGTCCAAATGTAAGTTCGGTATGCAAACTACACATAATAATTCCTCATTAGTGTTAAAATGTCAAAGCAACCTCAAAACGGACAAATTAATCTACCGTTTGCAGTGACACGCGCTCGCCAACCGTTATCATAAGCTAAAGAATTAGTAAACAAGATTCTAATAGAAGGTACCAAGTTGATAAGAAAATAATTGACAGTGAAATGGAGAAAAACATAGGTTGGTAGGTCCCCCACATATAGGAAAAAATGTAAATAATTAATGTATGGACATTTTCCTCCCATTAACTTTAACATTAATCCATGCAAAACTTGGAAATAATTATGTTAAAGTTTCAAGTTTCAACCACATAGGCATTACACAGTTCTTGTGAATGCCTTTGCAAGTTTTATTTTTAGATTAATCGAGGTTTAGTACATGTTTGAAAGAAAAATGAAAACATGTGTGAAATCAATAATAAAATAAATGTTAAGCAGTTTATTTTACAAAATTATTTTTACGCAATTGGTGATGAGATTTCCATGAAGGCTTATAAAATTACTAATTAAAAACATGGTAATTTTGTAAAACTTGTTTGGAAAATTAAACAAGAATATTGACTGAATCCTTTCACTTGTGTTCCTTACCTAATTTGAAATTCGCTTGTGAATGTTACATTGCATTGGTCCCCCTGGAATTGCATAACATCTGTTGTCAGCCACACCTGGCCGTGGGCCTAGCCCATCACATCACTTTAAAGTTCCCCCTTTTTTTTTTTTTTTTAATATCCCGGGACAATAAAAAGCGTCTGATATTTCTTCCCATCAATTTGTGGTGTCCACTTTGTTCCACA